CTATCGCTCGACCTGAGATTACATCAGAATGTCACCAGGAGGGTTTTGAATTTTGTTTTGAATTTGATTCTGAATGAGATGTTATCTCCTCAAGGCAGGGACTTGGGGCAGTTTCACATACAACTGGGTGTCCTCAGCATAGCAGTGGAATGACATTCCATGCCAGCTGATGACATGACCGAGAGGGAGCATGTACAGCAACCTTTTCTGAGTCAAGATCACTTTCTGAGTCAAAATGCAAGCCGAGATCTACCGCACAGATTATTTTTTCCCGTGACTTAAAAAGTGTAAGCCTATGCAACATTAACAGTACTGTAGCAATGAGGTTTGTGCAGTAGGCTATAGGCCCCAATACATTATCACCGCATATTGGCTTTTCTTGAATTGCCCTGCCAATACATTGTTCAAAATGTTAAATAATTTGCTTTTTATTTTTATTTTACTGGGCTGATGGTGCCTGCATCTGATGGTCAGTCTCAGCGGAGGGAGAGCGCAGCAGACTGAGGGTCCGACTCAACGTCCCTCGGCTCTCCCTTTCCTCCGCTGACACTGACCAAAAAGGGACACAGTCTTCCAGCTGATGGCAAAACTCAAGTCGCACTGCATTATTTTTGCCTCATGCACAAATAAATGTTGTTACTGTTAAATATTCCTTGATATTAAAAAAGACCAGCCTCTAATAATTACGCAAGCCTATCAATACACTTTCCTAGTCATTCATTACAGATGCAGTGCTGGTTGTAGCACGAGTGGAAGTAGGAAGAACGCATTTTATGGCTTATATAAGTGTTGAATAGAAAGTGTTGACAGTGCTGAGTAAGAACTTAAACATGAACTCACTCATAAAAACAGCAGCTTTTTGCTGTATTCATTGACAGTCTCTCTCTAGTCATGGTTTTAAACGTTTTGAAATCTCACAGTATTAACTTTGCTGTAGCTTTCTTTTAAGCCTGCTACGTTACTGCAGACACGGTAATCTGAGACATCTGATTCGCCAGCAGTAGACCTATAGTGCACTTGATTTGCTCTCCGGGCTGAAGAGTTTGTACCTTCAGACACCTGAAATGGCTCAAAATCGGAACACTTTGCCTACCCAGCACGCAGAGCAAATTAATCTGGTGCACCTACCGCGCGATACGAATAAAAATAACATATTGCGTTCCTATTTATCGTTGGGTTTTATTAAAGAAATGTTTGACGATCGACTAGAAATACCTTGGAGATCAACCAGTCGATTACGATTGACCGGTTGGTGACCACTGATGTACAGAATGAACAGGATGGGTCCGAGAACGGATCCTTGTGGGACACCTTAGGTGACTGGGTGGGTCTGGGTCCTGGACCCACCTAGCAAGACATACTCAGTCCTGTCTGAGAGGTAGGAACGAAACCAGCTCAGGGCTGGTCCAGAGAGTCTGATGGTGTTCTGGAAGCAAATGCTGCGCTTAATTCCAAGAGGATCAGGAGACCGGGGGGGGGCCTACATCAGCCACCATCAGGAGATCGTTGGTTACCCTGAGTAGGGCTGTTTCAGTGCTATGGGCCGGCCGGAAACCTGACTGGAACTATTCAAACAGGTTGTTGTGATTGAGATGGTCTTGGAGCTGTACAGCAACCACTTTTTCCAACACCTTGGAAAGGAAGGGGAGGTTGGAGATTGGCCTATAATTGGCCAGAACTTCCGGGTCCAGTGTGGGCTTCTTTAGAAGGGGGATGATGATAGCTGTCTTGAGTGCGGGTGGGACACTGCCAGATTGAAGGGAGTGGTTTACAACCTGTGTTTTGCGAGGGCCCGGTGCATGATTTGAGTAGGGCAGTTGGAACAGGATCCAGGGCACCTGAGGTTTTAATTTTGGAGATGGTTTTCTCAATACCTCCCTGGGTAACTTCTAGGAAGCAGGAGAGAGGCTGATGTGGCATTTGCAGAGGGTCTAGGATGGGAGCATTCAGAGCTGGAGATCTGATGTTGTTGACATTTTGTATTTCTTAAAGTCAAATGAAGCTTTTATACTGCTCCACCATTGTCTCGGACCTGGCATCTTTTCACTCCCTCCTCTCTACATTTTCTTCATCTGTTTCTGCTGCTAAGGCCACTTTCTACCACTCTAAATTCCAAGCATCTGCCTCTAACCCTAGGAAGCTCTTTGCCACCTTCTCCTCCCTGCTGAATCCTCCTCCCCCCTCCCTCTCTGTGGATGACTTCGTCAACCATTTTGAAAAGAAGGTTGACGACATCCGATCCTCGTTTGTTAAGTCAAATGACACTGCTGGTCCTGCTCACACTGCCCTACCCTATGCTTTGACTTATTTCTCCCCTCTCTCTCCAGATAAAATCTTGCGACTTGTGTCGGCCGGCCGCCCAACAACATGCCCGCTTGACCCTATCCCCTCCTCTCTTCTCCAGACCATCTCCGGTGACCTTCTCCCTTACCTCACCTCACTGATCAACTCATCCTTGACCGCTGGCTATGTCCCTTCCGTCTTGAAGAGAGCGAGAGTTGCACCCCTTCTCAAAAAACCCAACACTCGATCCCTCTGATGTCAACAACTACAGACCAGTATCCCTTCTTTCTTTTCTCTCCAAAACTATTGAGCGTGCCGTCTTTAGCCAACTCTCTTGCTATCTCTCTCAGAATGACCTTCTTGATCCAAACCAGTCAGGTTTCAAGACTGGTCATTCAACTGAGACTGCTCTTCTCTGTGTCACGGAGGCTCTCTGCACTGCTAAAACTAACTCTCTCTCCTCTGCTCTTGTCCTTCTAGACATGTCTGCTGCCTTTGATACTATGAACCATCAGATCCTCCTCTCCACCCTCTCCGAGCTGGGCATCTCCGGCGCGGCTCACTCTTGGATTGCGTCCTACCTGACCGGTCGCTCCTACCAAGTGGCGTGGCGAGAAGCTGTCTCCGCACCACGTGCTCTCACCACTGGTGTCCCCCAGGGCTCAGTTCTAGGCCATCTCCTATTCTCGCTATACACCAAGTCACTTGGCTCTGTCATATCCTCACATGGCTTCTCCTATCATTGCTACGCAGACGACACACAACTAATCTTCTCCTTTCCCCCTTCTGATAACCAGGTCGGGAATCGCATCTCTGCATGTCTGGCAGACATATCAGTATGGATGACGGATCACCACCTCAAGCTGAACCTTGGCAAGACGGAGCTGCTCTTCCTCCCGGGGAAGGACTGCCCGTTCCATGATCTCGCCATCACGGTTGACAACTCCGTTGTGTCCTCCTCCCAGCGTGCGAAGAGCCTTGGCGTGACCCTGGACAACACCCTGTCGTTCTCCGCTAACATCAAGGCGGTGACCCGATCCTGTAGCTTCATGCTCTACTACATTCGGAGAGTACGACCCTGCCTTACACAGGAAGCGGCACAGGTCCTAATCCAGGCACTTGTCATCTCCCGTCTGGATTACTGCAACTCGCTGTTGGCTGGGCTCCCTGCCTGTGCCATTAAACCCCTACAACTCATCCAGAATGCCGCAGCCCGTCTGGTGTTCAACCTTCCCAAGTTCTCTCACGTCACCCCGCTCCTCCGCACACTACACTGGCTTCCAGTTGAAGCTCGCATCTGCTACAAGACCATGGTGCTTGCCTACGGAGCTGTGAGGGGAACGGCACCTCCGTACCTTCAGGCTCTGATCAGTCCCTACACCCAAACGAGGGCATTGCGTTCATCCACCTCTGGCCTGCTGGCTCCCCTACCTCTGCTGAAGCACAGTTCCCGCTCAGCTCAGTTAAAACTGTTCGCTGCTCTGGCACCCCAATGGTGGAACAAGCTCCCTCACGACGCCAGGACAGCGGAGTCACTCACCACCTTCCGGAGACATTTGAAACCCCACCTCTTTAAGGAACACCTGGGATAGGATAAAGTAATCCTTCTACCCCCCCCCCAACCCCCCCCCCCAAAAAAATAAAATAGTAATAATAATAATAACTGTAAAGTGGTTATCCCACTGGCTATAAGGTGAATGCACCAATTTGTAAGTCGCTCTGGATAAGAGCGTCTGCTAAATGACGTAAATGTAAAATGTCTCGATGGAGGACTGGTAATGGGGTTTTAGAAAGATGGTTAAGGTGGAAAACCGGTGCTGTCACTGAGGTCAAGGCAAGGATTATGAGTCTACAACCAGAGGAAGACCAAAGTAGAAAAGCATGAACGATTAGAACTATAGCGATCTTAGTAGAACACTTATAATACAGTAATAATAATATTTTGTTTAAAGGAACCAATAGATTCCATGGAAATAGAAACACTGGAAATGGAGATTACGTCTATGCTGTACACTGAGTGTACAAAACATTAGGAACACCTACTCTTTCCGTCACATAGATTGACCAGGTGAAAGCTATGATCCCTTGATGTCACAATCAGTGTAGATTAAGGGGAGGACACAGGTTAAAGAATGATTGATTTTTAAGCCTTGAGACAATGAGACATGGATTGTGTATGTGTGCCATTCAGAGGGTGAATGAGCAAGAGCCTTTGAACGGGGTATGGTAGTAGCTGCCAGGCACACCAGTTGGTCCACCACCCAAAGGACATCCAGCCAACTTGACACAACTGTGAGAAGCATTGGAGTCAACATGGGCCAGCATCCCTGTGGAACACTTTCGACACCTTGTAGTCCATGCCCCGACGAATTGAGGCTGTGCTGAGGGCACAAGGGGCTGTAACTCAATATTAGGAAGGTGTTCCTAATGTTTTGTACACTCAGTGTATGTGTTAGTGTATATTGACTTGGAGGGAAGTTGCAGAAAGGAAGAGAAGGGAGAGACTGAGTTGTCTGAAGAAATAACCCTGATATCGTTTATCTTACGGCTCAGCACCGCTCAGTCGAGAATTCTTTGAACCTGACACAATAATTAAAAACGTCAACCCTTTCTTTTCTATCCGTGAGGAAGGTGGGGTGAGGGGAAGGGGGATGAAGGGCGCGAAAAAGCTGATAATTACTTGATTCGGGAGAAAGGCTGTCCCTTTATTCCTCCAGGCCACTCCAGGACATCAATCTGGCACAGGTGTGTGTGTGTGTATGTGTGTGTGTGTGTGTGTGCGCGCATTCATGTGGGTGTGTCTGTGGCAGAAGATTAATGGCATATTACCCATTCATGTCTTCATTACAAACAGTTTCCTTGGAGAGTAGGGTGATTTGAATAGCTAAATTGTCCAAGCGCTGTGGAAACCAGGGCTAATGGTCCTGTGTCCTTGTCACTGATGGCCCACTGTCAAAGTCAAACTGAAGATCTGAGGCACAGTCAGCTATTGTCGGGCAAGACACAGCTCAACAGGGAGCCAAATTGTGTGGTCGTAGATTGATAGAGATTTGCCTATTTCTGGTCTCTATATTGTGCTATGTGTTGGCATCATGATGTAAAGGAATTGCTTCTTGGTGACTGATTTATGCTCTCTTCATTGGACCTTCTAGTTCTATGCATGGTTATTGGCTAAGAGCTATGTGCAGCCGGGGTAGGCAAACCTGGTCCAACAGTATAGAGCTGCAGTGTGTGCAAGTTTTTGTTCTAGCCCAGCACTAACACACCTGGTAATGACAATCAAATAGTCTTGGTCTTCAATTGAGGGTCTCTGGACACTGGACAGGAGTTGCCCATTCCTGGTGTCTGCAAACTGGAGCTACCCGGACGTGGTCATCCTCTCCTGTGGATCACCTGGTACATGTCCTCACTTCACTGTCTCTCTCCTTTTCGACACCATCTCTGACATTTATGTGATTAACAGACAAATCAAATCGAATTTTATTTGCCACATGCGCCGAATACAACAGGTGTAGACATTACCGTGAAATGCTTACTTACAGCCCTTAACCAACAATGCATTTATTTTTTAATAAAAAAGTAAAATAAAACAACAACAAAAAAGTGTTGAGAAAAAAAGAGCAGAAGTAAAATAAAATAACAGTAGGGAGGCTATATACAGGGGGGTACCGGTGCAGAGTCAATATGCGGGGGATCCGGCTAGTTGAGGTAATATGTACATGTGGGTAGAGTTAAAGTGACTATGCATAAATAATTAACAGAGTAGCAGCAGCGTAAAAATATGGGGTGGGGGGGCAGTGCAAATAGTTCAGGTAGCCATGATTAGCTGTTCAGGAGTCTTATGGCTTAGGGGTAGAAGCTGTTGAGAAGCCTTTTGGACCTAGACTTGGCGCTCCGGTACCGCTTGCCGTGCGGTAGCAGAGAGAACAGTCTATGACTAGGGTGGCTGGAGTCTTTGACAATTTTGAGGGCCTTCCTCTGACACCGCCTGGTATAGAGGTCCTGGATGGCAGGAAGCTTGGCCCCAGTGATGTACTGGGCCGTACGCACTACCCTCTGTAGTGCCTTGCGGTCGGAGGCCGAGCAGTTGCCATACCAGTCGGTGATGCAACCAGTCAGGATGCTCTCAATGGTGCAGCTGTAGAACTTTTTAAGGATCTGAGGACCCATGCCAAATCTTTTCAGTCTCCTGAGGGGGAATAGGCTTTGTCGTGCCCTCTTCACGACTGTCTTGGTGTGTTTGGACCATGATAGTTTGTTGGTGATGTGGACACCAAGGAACTTGAAGCTCTCAACCTGCTCCACTACAGCCCCGTCGATGAGAATGGGGGCGTGTTCAGCCCTCCTTTTTCTGTAGTCCACGATCATCTCCTTTCTCTTGCTCACGTTGAGGGAGAGGTTGTTTTCCTGGCAACACACTGCCAGGTCTCTGACCTCCTCCCTATAGGCTGTCTCATCGTTGTCAGTGATCAGGCCTACCACCATTGTGTCATCAGCAAACTTTATGATGGTGTTTGACTCATGCTTGGCCACGCATTCGTGGGTGAACAGGGAGTACAGGAGGGGACTAAGCACGCCCCCATGAGGGGCCCCCGTGTTGAGGATCAGCATGGCAGATGTGTTGTTGCTTACCCTTACCACCTGAGGGCAGCCCGTCAGGAAGTCCAGGATCCAGTTGCAGGAGGTGGTGTTTAGTCCCAGGGTCCTTAGCTTAGCGATGAGCTTTGTGGGCACTATGGTGTTGAACGCTGAGCTGTAGTCAATGAACAGCATTCTCACATAGGTGTTCCTTTTGTCCAGGTGGTAAAGGGCAGTGTGGAGTGCGATTGAGATTGCGTCATCTGTGGATCTGTTGAGGCGGTATGAAAATTGGAGTGGGTCCAGGGTTTCTGGGATGATGGTGTTGATGTGAGCCATGACCAGCCTTTCAAAGCTCTTCATGGCTACTGATTTGAGCGCTACGGGGCGGTAGTCATTTAGGAAGGTTACCTTCTCTCTTTTTCTCCCCAATTTTGTGATATCCAATTGGAGTCCCGTACGGACTCGGGAGAGGTAAGGTCAAGAGCCATGCATCCTCCGAAACACGACCCTGCCAAGCCACACTGCTTCTTGACACACTGCTCACTTAACCTGGAAGCCAGCCACACCAATGTGTCGGAGGAAACACTGTAAACTGGCGACCGAAGTGAGCTTGCAGGCGCCCGGCCCGCCACAAGAAGTCGCTAGAGCGCGATGGGACAAGGACATTCTTGGCCAAACCCTCCCCTAACCCAGACGACGCTGGGCCAATTGTGCGCCGCCTCATGGGTCTCCCGGTCATGGCCGGCTATGACACAACCTGGGATCGAACACGGGTCTGTAGTGACGCCTCAAGCACTGCAATGCAGTGCCTTAGACCGCTACACCACTCGGGAGGCAACCTTTGCTTTCTTTGGCACAGGGACTATGATGGGCTGCTTGAAACATGTAGGTATTACAGACTCGGTCAGGGAGAGGTTGAAAATGTCACACAATCGTCCGGAACAGCTGATGCTCTCATGCATGGTTCAGTGTTGCTTGCCTCGAAGCGAGCCTAAAAGGCATTTAGCCTGTCTGGTAGGCTTGCATCACTGTGCAGCTCGTGGCTGGGTTTCCGTTTGTAGTCTGTAATAGTTTGCAAGCCCTGCCACATCCAACGATCGTCAGGGCCGGTGTAGTAGGATTCAATCTTAGTCCTGTATTGACGCTTTGCCTCTTTGATGGTTCGTCTGAGGGCATAGTGGGATTTCTTATAAGCATCCGGATTAGTGTCCCAATCCTTGAAAGTGGCAGCTCTAGCCTTTAGTTCCGTGAGGATGTTGCCTGTAATCCATGGCTTCTGGTTGGAATATGTACATACGATCACTGTGGGGATGATGTCGTCAATGCATTATTGATGAAGCCGGTGGTATACTCATCAATGCCATTGGATGAATCCTGGAACATATTCCAGTCTGTGCTAGCAAAACACTCCTGTAGCGTAGCATCCGCGTCATCTGACCACTTCCGTATTGAGCGAGTCACTGGTACTTCCTGCTTTAGTTTTTGCTTGTTAGCAGGAATCAGGAGGATAGAATTATGGTCAGATTTGCCAAATGGAGGGCGAGGGAGAGCTTTGTATGTGTCTCTGTGTGTGGAGTAAAGGTGGTCTAGAGTTTGTTTCTTCCTCTGGTTGCACATGTGACATGCTGGTAGAAATTAGGTAAAACAGATTTAAGTTTGCCTGCATTAAAGTCCCCGGCCACTAGGAGCGCCGCTTCTCAATGAGCATTTTCTTGTTTGCTTATGGCCTTATATAGCTCGTTGAGTGCCAGCGTCGGTTTGTGGTGGTAAACAGACAGCTATGAAAAATATAGATGATAAACTCTCTTTGTAGATAGTGTGGTCTACAGCTTATCATGAGGTATTCTACCTCAGGCGCGCAATACCTCGAGACTACCTTAATATTAGACATTGCGCACCAGCTGTTATTGACAAATAGACACACACCCCCACCCCTCGTCTTAACGGACGTAGCTGTTCTGTTCTGCCGATGCACGGAAAACCGAGCCAAATGTATATTATCTGTGTTGTCGTTCAGCCACGACTCGGTGAAACATAAGATATTATTGTAAATTAGGTATTTCAGTTTTTGTTTTGTAATAAATGTGCTAAAATGTTTGCTTTGTCATTATGGGGTATTGTGTGTAGATTGATGAGGGGAAAATAACTATTTAATCCAATTTAGAATAAGGCTGTAATGTAACAAAATGTGGAAAAAGTCAAGGAGTCTGAATACTTTCCGAGTGCACTGTATGTAAGTGAGTGTGTCATGTGTTTGCTGGTGGCTGAGTGTTCATGGGTGAATATACCATCAGAATAACCTCATTTACCCTCAGCACTGAGAGAAGAGAGCTGAAAATGGCCACTACCTATGTTAAAAGTTCATACAGAAGATGCCAAGTATTTCCCGTCTGAAGTATTATTTGAAAATGAAAGTAATGTAGGGAGTAGTATGTTTCTCATAGGAGCATCCAATGGGATGCAAAGTAAGTAATGCATCTATCTGGATCTACAACAGGATGCTAAGTAATAAGTATCTGGATCCCAGGAATAACATTTGGAGGTAAAACAATCTGCTGGTTGCACCAGAGAGTGAACCTGTCAAACTGATCAAATAAATATTATATAAAAATCTTGGGAACAACACTAGACACATTGAGTGCAGCTCTGCCCACCTCAAAGGAGAGAAAACAAGAGAAAGAAAGTGAGAGATAAGGGACGGAATGCCATGGACTTAAAAGCAGATCTAGAGAGATGGAGAGACTTCATAATTCAATCACTGTCATTGATGGTACAAATGGTACATTTGGGAAAAAACATCTCCACAGTATGAAATGTTACTTACCTCCAGGGAGACATTTTTCTCTCAGCAACATTTTTATTTCCTCTCTACACTTAATTAAACCATAACAGTGAAAGTAGCGGTGGAGAGTATCACTTGAGCTTCTTCTTTTGTATCATATTGCCATCTAGCGGATAAAACCGTTAATTACATGTAAAGAGGTTTTGTATGAGATTAAAGCTAGAATCCTTAATGGTGAAAACTGCCACATCTGTTCGCGATGTTACTGCAAACAATGAAGACCGTTCACCAACTCTTATTCATATACTGTATTCTTCACATAACTCATTATAATATCTAATATCTACGACGATTGCATTTCGTTTGGACATCGGTGATTTCTTGTTTTGGATTATTATTTGTGTACTTGTTTTGAAATTTGTACTGCATTGTTAGGAGCTAGTAACACAAGCATTTCGCTGCACCTGCTATAACATCTGCTAAACTGTTTACGCGACCAATAAACTTCGATTTTAATATGCACTGCTATTTTATTTTACCATTGTGTGATGTTCCTCAGCCCCCCCCCCCCTTTGTCAAAACAATATAACAACAGCGGTGGGGCGGACTGTGGAGCTTTCCTCTACTGGGGATTCCATCTTTAACCCTCCTAACCCACTGAACATCAGCGTTATAGATTGAAATGTACAGGCCATTACATTTTTGAGAATCACTGATGTTAGTGGTCAAAAACTTTTGGACGGGTATATTCTTAGACTTGCACTGTATTTGGAATCAATTGGTTCTAAGTATCAAATCCTACAAATGTGATTCTTATAATAGGGATGCACTGCATTTTTCTTCATGTTGATGTTGTGATTAACCCTCGCACATGGCACGCCGCTCACAAAAAAGTCTGGAGTACATCTCCTCACACGTGCACCCGTTACACAGGCAGTTTCCATGGTTACCGCAGAGGTTTCTGTTTAGGTCCCGGCATCTGCGTTGAGCATTCGCATGCAAGACCCATAAACCCCTCCTCACACGCACAGCGATTGCAGTCACACCGCCCATGACCTGGCGACCAAACACAAACAAAACAGATCCTGCAGTTAGTGCCTTCACAAAGTATTCACACCCCTTGACTTTCCACATTTTGTTGTGTTACAGCCAGAATTTTCTAATTGATTAAATTGAGGTTGTCACTGGCTTACACACAATAACCCCATAATGTCAAAGTCGAATTATTATTAAAAATGAAAAGCTGAAATGTCTTCAGTTAATAAGTATTCAACCCCTTTGTTATGGCATGCCTAAATACGATCAGGAGTAAAAATGTGCTTAAAAATGTGCTTAACAAGTCACCTAATAAGTTGCATGGACTCCTCATGACTACCTCATCTCTGTACCCCACACATACAACTATCTGTAAGGTCCCTCAGCCAAGCTGTGAATTTCAAACACAGATTCAACCACAAAAACCAGGGAGGTTTCCAATGCTTCGCAAAGAAAGGCACCTATTACTATATATGTGGAGTTTAGACCAAAAATCTATATTTTTGTCTCATCAGACCATATGACCTTCTCACATTCCTCCTCTGGATCATCCAGATGGTCATTGGCAAACTTCAGACGGGCCTGGACATGCGCTGGCTTGAGCAGGGGGACCTTGCGTGCGCTGCAGGATTTTAATCCATGACGGCGTAGTGCGTTACTAATGGTTTTCTTTGAGAAGCCCTCCTGTTCCCAGCTCTCTTCAGGTCATTGACCAGGTCCTGCCGTGTAGTTCTGGGCTGATCCCTCACCTTCCTCATGATCATTGATGCCCCACGAGGTGAGATCTTGCATGGAACCCCAGACCGAGGGTGATTGACCATAATTTTGAACTTCTTCCATTTTCTAATAATTGCGCCAACAGTTGTTGCCTTCTCACCAAGCTGCTTGCCTATTGTCCTGTAGCCCATCCCAGCCTTGTGCAGGTCAACAATTCTATCCCTGATGTCCTTACACAGCTCTCTGGTCTTGGCCATTGTGGAGAGGTTGGAGTCTGTTTGATTGAGTGTGGATAGGTATTTTATACAGGTAACGAGTTCAAACAGGTGCAGGTAATGAGTGGAGAACAGGAGGGCTTCTTAAAGAAAAAAGAACAGGTCTGTGAGAGCCGGAATTCTTACTGGTTGGTAGGTGATCAAATAATTATGTCATGCAATAAAATGCAAATTAATTACTTAAAAATCATACAATGTAATTTTCTGTATTTTTGATTTAGATTCCGTCTCTCACAGTTGAAGTGTACCGATGATAAAAATTACAGACCTCTACATGCTTTGTAAGTAGGAAAACCTGCAAAATCGGCAGTGTATCAAATACTTGTTCTCCCCACTGTATGTATATATGTATATATGACAAAGAAATGAAAGAAGAAATTATCTGTCTATAATTTTAATGGTAGGTTTATTTGAACAGTGAGAGACAGAATAACAACAAAAATATCCAGAAAAACGCATGTCAAAAATGTTATAAATTGATTTGCATTTTAATGAGGGAAATAAGTATTTGACCCCATCTCAATCAGAAAGATTTCTGGCTCCCAGGTGTCTTTTATACAGGTAACGAGCTGAGATTAGGAGCACACTCATAAAGGGAGTGCTCCTAATTTCAGCTTGTTACCTGTATAAAAGACACCTGTCCACAGAAGCAATCAATCAATCAGATTCCAAACTCTCCACCATGGCCAAGACCAAAGAGCTCTCCAAGGATGTCAGGGACAAGATTGTAGACCTACACAAGGCTGGAATGGGCTACAAGACCATCGCCAAGCAGCTTGTTGAGAAGGTGACAACAGTTGGTGCGATTATTCGCAAATGGAAGAAACACAAAATAACTGTCAATCTCCCTCGGCCTGGGGCTCCATGCAAGATCTCACCTCGTGGAGTTGCAATGATCATGAGAACGGTGAGGAATCAGCCCAGAACTACACGGGAGGATCTTGTCAATGATCTCAAGGCAGCTGGGACCATAGTCACCAAGAAAACAATTGGTAACACACTACGCCGTGAAGGACTGAAATCCTGCAGTGCCCGCAAGGTCCCCATGCTCAAGAAAGCACATATACATGCCCGTCTGAATTTTGCCATTTGAACTCAAGAAAGCACATATACATGCCCGTCTGAATTTTGCCAATGAACATCTGAATGATTCAGAGGTGAACTGGGTGAAAGTGATGTGGTCAGATGAGACCAAAATCGAGCTCTTTGGCATCAACTCAACTCGCCGTGTTTGGAGGAGGAGGAATGCTGCCTATGACTCCAAGAACACCATCCCCACCGTCAAACATGGAGGTGGAAACATTATGCTTTGGGGGTGTTTTTATGCTAAGGGAACAGGACAACTTCACCGCATCAAAGGGATGATGGACGGGGCCATGTACCGTCAAATCTTGGGTGAGAACCTCCTTCCCTCAGCCAGGGCATTGAAAATGGGTCGTGATGGGTATTCCAGCATGACAATGACCCAAAACACACGGCCAAGGCAACAAAGGAGTGGCTCAAGAAGAAGCACATTAAGGTCCTGGAGTGGCCTAGCCAGTCTCCAGACCTTAATCCCATAGAAAATCTGTGGAGGGAGCTGAAGGTTTGAGTTGCCAAACGTCAGCCTCGAAACCTTAATGACTTGGAGAAGATCTGCAAAGAGGAGTGGGACAAAATCCCTCCTGAGATGTGTGCAAACCTGGTGGCCAACTACAAGAAATGTCTGACTTCTGTGATTGCCAACAAGGGTTTTGCCACCAAGTACTAAATCATGTTTTGCAGAGGGGTCAAATACTTATTTCCCTCATTAAAATGAAAATCAATTTATAACATTTTTGACATGCGTTTTTCTGGATTTCTTTGTTATTCTGTTTCTCACTGTTCAAATAAACCTACCATTAAAATTATAGACTGATCATTTCTTTGTCAGTGGGCAAACGTACAAAATCAGCAGGGGATCAAATATTTTTTTCCCTCACTGTATGTATACATATGTATATGTGTATATATATGTATAAATAATATATATTTATATAAATATATATGTATATATATAAATGTGTGTGTATACAGTCGGGGGAAAAAAGTATTTAGTCAGCCACCAATTGTGCAAGTTCTCCCACTTAAAAAGATGAGAGAGGCCTATAATTTTCATCATAGGTACACGTCAACTATGACAGACAAGTTGAGAAAAAAAAAATCCAGAAAATCACATTGTAGGATTTTTAATGAATTTATTTGCAGATTATGGTGGAAAATAAGTATTTGGTCACCTACAAACAAGCAAGATTTCTGGCTCTCACAGACCTGTAACTTCTTCTTTAAGAGGCTCCTCTGTCCTCCACTCGTTACCTGTATTAATGGCACCTGTTTGAACTTGTTATCAGTATAAAAGACACCTGTCCACAACCTCAAACAGTCACACTCCAAACTCCACTATGGCCAAGACCAAAGAGCTGTCAAAGGACACCAGATACAAAATTGTAGACCTGCACCAGGCTGGGAAGACTGAATCTGCAATAGGTAAGCAGCTTGGTTTGAAGAATTCAACTGTGGGAGCAATTATTAGGAAATGGAAGACATACAAGACCACTGATAATCTCCCTCGATCTGGGGCTCCACGCAAGATCTCACCCCGTGGGGTCAAAATGATCACAAGAACGGTGAGCAAAAATAACAGAACCACACGGGGGGACCTAGTGAATGACCTGCAGAGAGCTGGGACCAAAGTAACAAAGCCTACCATCAGTAACACACTACGCCGCCAGGGACTCAAATCCTGCAGTGCCAGACGTGTCCCCCTGCTTAAGCCAGTACATGTCCAGGCCCGTCTGAAGTTTGCTAGAGTGCATTTGGATGATCCAGAAGAGCATTGGGAGAATGTCATATGGTCAGATGAAACCAAAATAGAACTTTTTGGTAAAAACTCAACTCGTCGTGTTTGGAGGACAAAGAATGCTGAGTTGCATCCAAAGAACACCATACCTACTGTGAAGCATGGGGGTGGAAACCTCATGCTTTGGGGTTCTTTTTCTGCAAAGGGACCAGGACGACTGATCCGTGTAAAGGAAAGAATGAATGGGGCCATGTATCGTGAGATTTTGAATGAAAACCACCTTCCATCAGCAAGGGCATTGAAGATGAAACGTGGCTGGGTCTTTCAGCATGACAATGATCCCAAACACACCGCCCGGGCAACGAAGGAGTGGCTTCATAAGAAGCATTTCAAGGTCCTGGAGTGGCCTAGCCAGTCTCCAGATCTCAACCCCATAGAAAATCTTTGGAGGGAGTTGAAAGTCTGTGTTGCCCAGCGACAGCCCCAAAACATCACTGCTCTAGAGGAGATCTGCATGGAGGAATGGGCCAAAATACCAGCAACAGTGTGTGAAAACCTTGTGAAGACTTACAGAAAACGTTTGACCTGTGTCATTGCCAACAAAGGGTATATAACAAAGTATTGAGAAACTTTTGTTATTGACCAAATACTTATTTTCCACCATAATTTGCAAATAAATTCATAAAAAATCCTACAATGTGATTTTCAGGATTCTTTTCCCTCATTTTGTCTGTCATAGTTGACGTGTACCTATGATGAAAATTACAGGCCACTCATCTTTTTAAGTGGGAGAACTTGCACAATTGGTGGCTGACTAAATACTTTTTTCCCCCCACTGTATATAGATATGTGTATATGTGTATGTGTTTATATATGTGTGTATATATATACAGTGAGGGGGAAAAAAGTATTTGATCCCCTGCTGATTTTGTACGTTTGCCCACTGACAAAGAAATGATCAGTCTATAATTTTAATGGTAGGTTTATTTGAACAGTGAGAGACAGAATAACAACAAAAAAATCCAGAAAAACGCATGTCAAAGATGTTATAAATTGATTTGCATTTTAATGAGGGAAATAAGTATTTGACCCCCTCTCAATCAGAAAGATTTCTGGATGCCAGGTGTCTTTTATACAGGTAACGAGCTGAGATTAGGAGCACACTCTTAAAGGGAGTGCTCCTAATCTCAGCTTGTTACCTGTATAAAAGACTCCTGTCCACAGAAGCAATCAATCAATCAGATTCCAAACTCTCCACCATGGCCAAGACCAAAAAGCTCTCCAAGGATGTCAGGGACAAGATTGTAGACCTACACAAGGCTGGAATGTGCTTGGTGAGAAGGTGACAACAGTTGGTGCGATTATTCGCAAATGGAAGAAACACAAAAGTCCTGTCAATCTCCCTTGGCCTGGGGCTCCATGCAAGATCTCACCTTGTGGAGTTGCAATGATCATGAGAACGGTGAGGAATCAGCCCAGAAATACACGGGACGATCTTGTCAATGATCTCAAGGCAGCTGGGACCATAGTCACCAAGAAAACAATTGGTAAAACACTACGCCGTGAAGGACTGAAATCCTGCAGTGCCCGCAAGGTCCCCCTGCTCAAGAAAGCACATATACAGGCCCGTCTGAAGTTTGCCAATGAACATCTGAATGATGCAGAGGAGAACTGGGTGAAAGTGTTGTGGTCAGATGAGACCAAAATCGAGCTCTTTGCCATCAACTCAACTCGCCGTGTTTGGAGGAGGAGGAATGCTGCCTATGACCCCAAGAACACCATCCCCACCGTCAAACATGGAGGTGGAAACATTATGCTTTGGGGGTGTTTTTCTGCTAAGGGGACAGAACAACTTCACCGCATCAAAGGGACGATGGACGGGGCCATGTACTGTCAATTTTTGGATGAGAATCTCCTTCCCTCAGCCAGTTCATTGAAAATGGGTCGTGGATGGGTATTCCAGCATGACAATGACCCAAAACACACGGCCAAGGCAACAAAGGAGTGGCTCAAGAAGAAGCACATTAAGGTCCGTGAGTGGCCTAGCCAGTCTCCAGACCTTAATCCCATAGAACATCTGTGGAGGGAGTTGAAGGTTCGAGTTACCAAACATCAGCCTCAAAACCTTAATGACTTGGAGAAGATCTGCAAAGAGGAGTGGGACAAAATCCCTCCTTAGATGTGTGCAAATCTGGTGGCCAACTACAAGAAACGTCTGACCTCTGATTGCCAACAAGGGTTTTGCCACCAAGTACTAAGGCATGTTTTGCAGAGGGGTAAAATACTTATTTCCCGCATTAAAATGCAAATCAATTCATAACATTTTTGACATGCGTTTTTCTGTTTTTTTGTTGTTGTTATTCTGTCTCTCACTTTTCAAATAAACCTACCATTAAAATTATAGACTGATCATGTCTTTGTCAGTGGGCAAACGTAGAAAATCAGCAGGGGATCAAATACTTTTTTCCCTCACTGTAAATACTGCACTGTATTACTGCACTGCCGGAGCTAGAAGCACAAGCAATTTGCTACACCCGCAATAACATCTGCTAAACACGTGTATGTGACAAATAAAATTTGATTTGATTTTAAATCTATTGCTTTATGCTAATGCTAGCTAGGTAGGTTTTTACATTTTGGTAGGGGTGCGTCAGTTCTAGCTAGGTGGCTAGAAATTGTGTGTGTGGTGTATTGATTCAAAGAAACCATCAGATGACATTTCAGAATATAATTCATTATAGGGCTAATAGATTGAAGTTAGTATCAATTGCAGATCTCCTCTTATGGGAGCCGGTAGCTAGCTAATTAATTATGTTCTCAGATCTACTTAGCTAGCTAGTTCTTACCGGTGGCTGGGTGTCTGCGTTTCAGAGCAAGTTCAACCATTATTTACCCCCGGGAATGCTGTGCCATGATGTTGTGTCCATAGATAAGCAATGTGTGTGTGTGTGTAGCTGTCAGTCAGTGTCCTACAGGTTCGATTGTATCACCGTCAGAATAAAATATGATATCAAGGTAAAAGGCTGTAACTGCAGCCAAGGGCAGGTTAAAACCAAGCTAAAAGGCGGTAAGTTCAGTTACTGCCATTTACCTTGGTTTAATAATAATAATAATAATAATATTATAATAATAATATGCCATTTAGCAGACGCTTTTATCCAAAGCAACTTAGTCATGCACAGTAACTTTCTGCAGTTACTGCTAATATGACCCCAATTTTCTCCAAAACACAATACAATAGAGGCAGGATACTTGTCCACATGATTAAGCATGTACTTCATGTAGCAAAAATGACATTAAATAATTTTCGACCAAATGAGCAGTTACTGCCTTTTTGCTTGGAGGGGCAGTGTGGCAGTCCTCATGAGAGCCAGTTTCATCATAGCGCTTGATGGTTTTTGCAACTGCACTTGAAGAAACTTTAGAAGTTGCCAAGAGTGTGCAAAGCTGTCATCAAGGCAAAGGGTGGCTATTTGAAGAATCTCAAATATAAAATATATTTTGATTTCTTTAACCCTTGAATGAGTAAGTGTTCTAAAACTTTTGACCGGTAGTGTATATATATAGTACCAGACAAAAGTTTGGACACACCTACTCATTCAAGGGTTTTTCTTTATTTTTAATATTTTCTACATTGTAGAATAATAGTGAAGACATCAAAACTATGAAATAACACACATGGAATCATGTAGTAACCAAAAAAGTGTTAACCAAATCCAAATATATTTTATATTTGAGTTTCTTCAAAGTAGCCACCCTTTGCCTTGATGACAGCTTTGCACACTAATGTCCTCTCTTAATGACTTAGGAAAACGGCAAGATGACAACAATCTGTCTAAACTCATCGAGTTGACCCTTGGGAGATCCTTCACCTGTGATAGACAGACACCACTCTCCTCAATGGTACTCCCACCGGCTTTGGTCTTTGTCATGGTAGCAATGTAGGCTATGCTGTTACTCCCCGCATTTCCAGATGGCAGGTCGCAGGGAAGACGGTAGGGATCTAGACAGCCACAAGCCCGGTAAAATCACAAGGGCTAACCGCGCTAGCTTGATAGACCGCTAACAGTGGCAGCTAGGCCAGCTGCCACGCCAAGCAGCTCATCATCAGACCCTCGGCCGGAAGGGTCCCCGAACAGAGGGCAGCGGTCCCAGCATCTGATGCCAACAGCGCCGCAGGGATCCAAAATCAATAGGTAGCTAGCTAGTAACCAAACCTTTCCAATTTAACACTTTTTCAGACACTTTCAGAACTTTCCAAAACAACAAACCGAGCGCTGCCTCATTCCACGTTCAACAGGAAGTGATGTGATTAATGGACTGCATCAAGTTTGTGAATGGTAAATAATGTATTGTCATTTTGGAGTCACTTTTATTGTAAATAAGAATATAATATGTTTCTAAACACTTCTACATGAATGTGGATGCTACCATGATTACAGATAATACTGAATGAATCATGAATGATGTTGAGTGAGAAAGTTAGACGCACAAATATCATATCCCCCCCAAAATGCTAACCTCCCCTGTTATTGTAATGGTGAGAGTTTAGCATGTCTTGGGGGTATGATGTTTGTGCATCTAACTTTATCACTCATAATTATTCACGATTCATTCACCTCATGGAGTATAGAGACAAAATAATAAAAAATGCTTCACAGTCCCAATAATTACAGAGGGCACTGTACATGCCCTCATTGTAAATCTATTAAGCACTGAGCAGATAAGTCTTAAATCTATTAAATGAATATTTGAATATGTTTGTATCCTCTTGCATTCTTCAAAAATTAAGTAATGTCAACAACCCTCAGAGACAATGTCCATATAATGTTAAATGTATATATTTTGTCTGTTTTAGCATTTGGAGTCAAAAGCAAAAGAACATCAACAAATTCAGTACACTGCACACTGTCATTCATCTTTATTGATCATCTATTGTATACATTCTGTGTAAAAAATATGAATGTCCAAGACTCATTGAACCCCTCTGGTTGTTGCTGTTGATCCCAGGACAGGGAAGGGCCCAGTTGCTTATGGGTACAGTGTTTATAAGGCTGTGAGGTCACAGTTCAGTGTGCAGTAGAAGCTTGGCTTTTTTCATGTTCTCGGCCACTATGGAGAGAGGGACAAGAAGCTTGGGTAAGAATCTGTTTACCAGGGAAGGGGTGAATTCCGTTTCATGTCAGGAAGAGAATTGGAATTCCAATTCAAGAATTGACTGAATTTAAATGGCCCAACCCTGCTTTACATTGTTCTGATAGTAGTGTAGATTGACCAAACAATTAATTATTTTACACTTTGAGCAACTACAGTAATAATTTGCTTAATTTCTGACTAATAAAAATTGTTCTTTAACTTTTCAGCTTTTCATTTGAGCAAGTAAAGTAAAACCTTTATGAAGTATTCATCCACCCCCTCAACCGCCCACCTTCTCTCCCGCTAAGAACTAGCCTTAAATATTCTCATTATTTTGCGGTTGCATCTCCCAACTCTCTCCTCTCAACTAGTTAGTGGATGAGGTGAAGGAAGAAGGAGTAGAACCAAGTAAGTGCAATCTGTGTTATTGGAAAACAGGTGTGTGTGTGTGTTAAGCAGGCAACAGAAGGATGTCTGACTCTCATAGGACCTCATTAGGGAAGAAGAGGGACACTCACAGTATGGGACGTCGCTCGGCTTGTAGGTGTACAGGTGGTTACTGTACTTCCCAGCAAGGTCTGCACGCACAGTCATGGATGGATCTGTGGGGAGGAGAGCTATTTTGGAGCACTTTGCCAAAGCTTCAAAACATAATACATCATTATGGGGGCATAACTAGATTGTAATGCTTTATTCATACTATTCCATTTCTAACACTATGGCGACATAAATTACATTGATCCCTTGATCAAGACCCACACATGTAAGTTATTTGGTGGTTCTTAGGCAAATGGCTACTGATTTAAAATAAAGTTATGTGAGGCACTGAATACAGTTGCATCAAAGATCTCACAGCAAGCATTGGACATTGTGAGTGATGTGTTGGGGATTCAGAATAAGTGGTGATTTATTTCCTAAGTGAGATGACATAGTAGAAGAGACCCACCAACAAACATGATTCTTGGAACGTAGTTGCCATCTGGTGCCAGATTCGTGTCTTCAGTCTCATGCTGAAAAATAAATCAAAATATACATTTCTAATCAACATCTATCATCTATTTAACATCTAAATTCTAATATTTACCTCCAAGTAAGGAAATAATGAAATGCATGATACAATGTATGATCTGTGATTGGGATATGGTTATAACCATATAATTTCATTGCTTCCAATGAGTTTATGTTGAAAAGCAATAAAATGTTATCAATTACCATCAAATTGAGCATAACAAAATCCTTTTGGGCCATTTTCTGAATGGTTTTATCAGCAGCAAACGCCGCCTTCAGAGCTGTGGAAGGAAGTGTGACAGAATGACAGTTAGTGAGAAGCTCACCTTTAACTTCAACACACTTTATCCTTATAAAGTGGAATTTGTCATACAAGCCTTTACAAATGATCATGTCTAGAGACATGTTGATACAAGACCAGAATTACTTGAACTGTAAGGCAACAAAGACCTTGGTTGGGGCTGTTTGGTTAGATGACGTATGTGTGAGTATGAAAGCACAGCAGTATTACCTTGACTATGAGGACAATCCTCCATGTGATGAATGACCATCAGAGGCTTCTTACTGTGGGAATATGAGGACACAGACAAAAAAAAGAACACATTCCACTACAGAATAAGTAGTGGGTGGATGTGTTTACAGAGAAGCACAACGTCCCAAGGCCCTGGTGTCGTTATGGAGATAAGAGAACACAGGCTGGGTGTGTCCCAAATGGCAACCTATTTCCTATTCTATTCCTATTTGATAGCGCCCTGGTCAAAAGTAGTGCACTATCTAGTGAATATGTTGCCCGTGCCATTTGGGATGCAACCATATAATAAATATGATGATTTCCGTTACAGTTTGATTAGTTTCATTGGACAGGTTCAATTAATGGGGCACAGTGATATGTGATTGTCTCACCTAGCTATCTTAAGATGAATGCACTGTAAGTCGCTCTGGATAAAAGTGTCTGATAATTGACTAAAATGTCAATTGTAAATGTGATATAATAATTGTGAGGATATGGCTGTAACGTAAGCAGATGGCTTTAATAAAAAATGTCACTCAGACGTTTGAAAGACTGCTCTAATTGTCAAACATATGCCACTAACCAAACAACACAATTGCAATTTGATGTCTTGTTGTGTATTTTGTCTAATCTTGTCTTACCTTTCTTTCATTGTCTTCAGGGCTTCCTCATAGGTCTGGACCCAGGTAATGTAATTTCCCCATCCTGAGACAAAATTGAGGATGGAAATCAGAATTAATGGATTTGGTGTTAATGTAATGGGGATGGAGAACTGTTTTAGTACACTCAGAAAAAAGGTGCTTTAGAACATGAAAGGGTTCTTCAGCTGTCCCCATAGGAGAACCCTTTTTTGTTCCAGGTAGAATCCTTTTGGTTCCAGGTAGAACCCTTTTGAGTTCTATGTAGAACCCTTTCCACAGAAGGTTCTATGTGGAACCCAAAAGGGTTCTACCTGGAACCAAAAAGGGTTATCCTATGGGGACAGCTGAAGAACCCTTTTTTTCTGGGAGTGTAGTAAACTTAAATAGACGTTAGGGGTGGGGCTAGGATACATTGATACATCAGCCTTACCTCTTGAGAGAGTTTGAGGGCTTTGCCTTGTTTTCTTCTGTAGGGAAACTTCCATACAGGTGACAAAGAGCAATGCGAAGAGAGACCAGCAATACATGGTGGTCATCAGTTCTGAGATAGAGAGAGGAGGAAGCAGTCAAGTCAAACTGTTCAAAAATATTTTTACATGGGACCCTATTCAAAACCCTGGCACCAAATCTCATGTGCACTGGCCAGTTTACATTCATGTTACCAATCTGTCACAATGAGACAACTTTTTCATGCTCGGGTGGTGGACATCATACTCAACTATGTTAATCTGCCTCTGAATTCTCTCACACACCCTTTGTGCTTAGAACTCAAACAACACAATTGCAATGTGATATGTCTTGTGTATTTTGTTCTGCGTGCCAATGATCCTGATTTTGGGATCTGACAACTGAGCAATTAATGAAGGCGTTGCATGCTTTGTGTCAGAACAGGATTGGCCAGTTTCATTACAATTATATGTGCCTTAATGGCACAGTGAATTGGCACATAAAAATTTAATACCTGTATGTTTATTAATATGTATTTATCTAACCTTTATTTGACCAGGGAGTCATACTTCGACCAAGGTCTCTTTTACAGATGAGCCCTGAATTACATAAATTACAAAAAGTTAGCCATCCCTGAGACCGGGTGTGGTAACTCGTATGTCTAAAGTTTAGTAATGATGTTCGGTATGGTTGGACTTTTTGTAAAAGGGCTTTATAAATGAAAACATAGCAATGTATCAACCTATAACTTGAGTCTTGACCATATAAAAGTCAAGTGTCATAAAAAAGGAACCCCTTCCAAAAACACTTGCCTTGTGCCATTTAGGGGTAGGCCTATCTCAATACAATTGCCTAAATTAATAGTAGAGATATTTGTATTGGCCTACTGAAACAGGCCAATCCTGTTTGGTTATGTGTGTCCCATTTCCTCAAAGTACTCCTGTTCTCGATTATGACATTTTGTCTATTAGTATTTTAAAATTCTAAAATAAAACCCTGTACCAGTATACTGTTTTTTAGAGTTTGCACAGATCATATTCATGTATGCGTAACTTCAAACAACTGATTTGGTGTCAGTCTGTTTCTTCTTCGGCCAAATTGCCAAAGGCAAAATTAAGGTTTTAACATTATTGAATGTTGACAGAGATAGGCCTATACACCAACCAGGTTATTCAAATGTTGCATCAAGTGAACACAATAATATTACAAGTTTCAACTAAGAAATGTTGTTCAATAATATAGAAATCTTACCTATTGCACAGGCACAGAGGAGTGTCTAGAGGAGTGTCTGTAGCCTACGTCCAAGCTGACAGTAACTTGGTTTTGATTTGCAGGTCTTTTTGTAGACAACAGAACTCACCAAACAGGTATGGGGAGCCAGGCCTACCCCAATTGTTTTATTTATTTTGTACATATTTTTATATTTTTTATTCTCTCTACTTGTCAGTGTTCCAAACGGGACATTTTTTTTTTTTACCTAAACATTTAAACACCATCAGAATTCATAGCAAGCAGTGCACTGGGTTAGTCATATTTTATTAAATATAACAGAAGAGATTAACTGGAATGACATTCACTCTCATGGGATGGGTTGCCAAAAAATCATTAACTGAAAGCCACATCCCCAATAAGCCCTGAATATGACTGCATTGAGGCATATGTCACAGTGCTTCTATGGCTATACAGTGAGGGAAAAAAGTATTTGATCCCCTGCTGATTTTGTACGTTTGCCCACTGATAAAGACATGATCAGTCTATAATTTTAATGGTAGGTTTATTTGAACAGTGAGAGACAGAATAACAACAACATAATCCAGAAAAACGCATGTCAAAAATGTTATAAATTGATTTGCATTTTAATGAGGGAAATAAGTATTTGACCCCTCTGCAAAACATGACTTAGTACTTGGTAGCAAAACCCTTGTTGGCAATCACAGAGGTCAGACGTTTCTTGTAGTTGGCCACCAGGTTTGCACACATCTCAGGAGGGATTTTGTCCCACTCCTCTTTGCAGATCTTCTCCAAGTCATTAAGGTTTCGAGGCTGATGTTTGGCAACTCGAACCTTCAGCTCCCTCCACAGATTTTCTATGGGATTAAGGTCTGGAGACTGGCTAGGCCACTCCAGGACCTTAATGTGCTTCTTCTTGAGCCACTCCTTTGTTGCCTTGGCTATGTGTTTTGGGTCATTGTCATGCTGGAATACCCATCCACGACCCATTTTCAATGCCATGGCTGAGGGAAGATTTGACGGTACATGGCCCCGTCCATCGTCCCTTTGATGCGGTGAAGTTGTCCTGTCCCCTTAGCAGAAAAACACCCCCAAAGCATAATGTTTCCACCTCCATGTTTGACGGTGGGGATGGTGTTCTTGGGGTCATAGGCAGCATTCCTCCTCCTCCAAACACGGTGAGTTGAGTTGATGCCAAAGAGCTCGATTTTGGTCTCATCTGACCACAACACTTTCACCCAGTTCTCCTCTGAATCATTCAGATGTTCATTGGCAAACTTCAGACGGGCCTGTATATGTGCTTTCTTGAGCAGGGGGACCTTGCGGGCGCTGCAGGATTTCAGTCCTTCATGGCGTAGTGTGTTACCAATTGTTTTCTTGGTGACTATGGTCCCAGCTGCCTTGAGATCATTGACAAGATTGTCCCGTGTAGTTCTGGGCTGATTCCTCACCGTTCTCATGGCCGAGGGAGATTGACAGTTATTTTGTGTTTCTTCCATTTGCGAATAATCGCACCAACTGTTTCACCTTCTCACCAAACTGCTTGGCGATGGTCTTGTAGCCCATTACAGCCTTGTGTAGGTCTACAATCTTGTCCCTGACATCCTTGGAGAGCTCTTTGGTCTTGGCCATGGTGGAGAGTTTGGAATCTGATTGATTGATTGCTTCTGTGGACTGGTGTCTTTTATACAGGTAACAAACTGAGATTAGGAGCACTCCCTTTAAGAGTGTGCTCCTAATCTCAGCTCGTTAGCTGTATAAAAGACACCTGGGAGCCAGAAATCTTTCTGATTGAGAGGGGGTCAAATACTTGTTTCCCTCAATAAAATGCAAATCAATTCATAACATTTTTGACATGCGTTTTTCTGGATTTTTGTGTTTTTATTCTGTCTTTCACTGTTCAAATAAACCTACCATTAAAATTATAGACTGATCATTTCTTTGTCAGTGGGCAAACATACAAAATCAACAGGGGATCAAATACTTTTTTCCCTCACTGTATACTGTACACCATGCCACTGCCTATTTCATTTGTTCATTTAGCAAACAAGACAGCTGATAATCCAGTGCCTTTGTCACAGTCAACACACCTATTTTTAAGCTTTAATTAGCTTTCAAATTCAACATTGCAAAATGTGTAGAATAGCATGAGATGAGCTATAAAACTGCAACTTTTCCTCTGGCACATGGCAAAATGTGTAGAATTGCAGGAAATTAACTTTAAAACAGCAACATTTTCTCTCAGCCTCATGGCAAAATGTGTAGAATAGAATGAGAAGTTATAAAACTGCATATGTTTCTCTTTGCCCAATGGCAAAATGTGTAAAATTGGTGGATGTTAGCTGCTCCCCAGGAAGTTAGCTGCTCTTGAATTTGACTACCACCATCAATTTTTCTATGCTAGCTATGCTATCAGTTTATACTAACAGAAGTTAGCATTTAGCAGTCACTTCTTCTAAACCTGAAAAGGGACTACTTCTAAATGTTATGCAGCGAAAACAGCCAAATATATCCAAATCAGACTTTAGTAACCACATTGTGGGCCTGTTACAATACATGAATCATGACGGATTTGAGGAATATCCACTTTGTTATATCCAAGCCAGCGTCTTCCTACTGTCCCCCACGGTCTGCGTTCCATTAATCGCTTTACTGCATCTATGCTTTCTGCTCTTGTATCTTTGGATTGAGAACATGACAGTTTTAAAATGAAGAGAATGTTATGTTGTTCATGTTCTCAATTTAGAAACTAAATTCTCTCTAATTTGTACAACTTGTGGAACGTTTAAAAAAACAAAAACGTTTTGACTGCATTGATTGTTTTTGTTGCCATGGTCAGCAACAGGGGTGTATTCATTACCAAGGGCTTTTAGGACATTATTTTTTATTTTTTATCCAGTCAGATAAACCTGCCGAACAGCCTAGAGACCGCACACATAAAGCACACCGTTGCCTCGTTTTGTATCACATTCCAATGATAAAACTGGGGGGGACAAAAATGCAATTTCAGAAAGTGGTGGGACATTGTCGTCGTTTGATATTTTTATACATGAGGCTTATTTGATCTAATAGAAGCTTCGTAATGGTTAGGTTGTTACGAGTGTACTGATATAAGTTTGATGCACATGACATCCCGGCAACTTTGAGAAAACACACTTTATATCGGAGTTGTCCCGCCCCCCACTGTTAGGACGGAGACACAAGCATCTCGCCATTATATCCAGTATCTCTGATTTAGCACAAGCGCATTTCAGATTAATGCTGCATTGTGGGATTGGATGCAATTGACATAGCGACAGGAGAGTTGATGGGAGAACGGTCTCATTTTTATCAATAACTTGGGGGAATTTATCATTTCAACAGCTGCCATGGACGGTTCAGTGGCCAAAAAGACCCAAGACACTTTAGGGAAAGTGATAAAGAAACCACCTCTTACTGAAAAACTGCTCAGCAAACCTCCGTTTCGATACCTGCACGACATATTCAGTGAGGTGAGTGATTAGCTAGTTAACTAGGTAATGTTAGCTTGCTAAGCTAGTTCGTTAGTTAGCTAATATTGGCTACTAACTACAGAGAGAGCTGGCTAGTTAGAAGGGATTTTGAAGACTTTTATAGCTACGCTAACTACCATTTATCCCCTGTAAAAACCAGCCAACCAACGTTTCAGCATTGAGACTGAGTCATGATAATTAACTACCTGTCCTAGCTAGCTATCAAATCAGCGTCGTTTTTCGACGTTGCTAGGCACTCCTGTCTGCTTGGTTTAGCAAACAAAACCAAGTCGTGGCGCCGGAAAATGTGACTTCTCACTTTATCTATGTCACAAATATGAAATAATTACTCATGAAACGGTTGAAAATATTATTCTTCAACAAATTGAATGTCTGCCCCTGCACTAGTTAGCTAAAGTGTACTAGCTAGTTAGCAGGTACGGATACTTATTTTTTGTCACCGAAGTGTTGTGAGGGTGTCATCCCTGTTATGAAATGAGTCCTCCTAACCTCCTATTCGAAATTACGGTCAATGACCTTATCCCTAAATGCAGCTGGATTGCTTGTTTGGAATTGGGCTGTCTTCCCTAACTAACTAGTTAGGATGGCAACATGAAGACATGGCACTGTGGAAGGGTGGTGCTTGCTTGTAATATGCTTACTTGTTTTAGCCTAAATAACATAAAAAGCAGACCATTGATCATGATTCTAAATCCACTGTAATTTGTATTTGACATAACAAGTATCATGATGGCAGGGACATGGGACAGGCAGTTACATGCCCTCAAATGGTGCCTTCAGTAAGTATTTACACCCCTAGACTTTTCCCAAATGTTGCTGTGTTACAGCCTGAATTTCAAATGGATTACTTATTGTCACTGGTATACACACGATACCCTATAATCTCCAAGTGGAATTAATGTTTTTTGAAAAATGTCTTGAGTCAATAAGTATTCAACCCCTTTGTTATGGCAAGCCTAAATATGTTCAGGAGTAAAAATGTGCTTAATAAGTTGCATGGACTCACTCTGTGTGCAATAATAGTGTTTAACATGATTTTTGAATGACTACCTCATCCCTGTACCCCACACATACAATTATCTGTAAGGTCCCTCAGTCGAGCAGTGAATTTTTAACACAGATTCAAACACTAAGACTAGAGGTTTTCCAATGCCTCGCAAAGAAAGGGCACCTTTTGGTAGATGGGGAAAAAAATAATAATCTGACATTGAATATCCCTTTGAGCATGGTAAAGTTATTAATTACACTTTGGATGGTGTATCAATACACCCAGTCACTACAAAGATACAGGCGTCCTTCCTAACTCAGTTCCCGGAGAGGAAGGAAACCACTCAGGGAGATGAATTCACCTTTCAGCAGGACAATAACTTAAAACAGAAGGCCAAATCTACACTTGAGTTTCTTACCAAGAATACATTGAATGTTCTTGAGTGGCCGAGCTTCAGTTTTGACTTAAATCTACTTGAAAATCTTAAGGCAAGACCTGAAAATGGTTGTCTAGCAATGATCAACAACCAATTTGACAGAGCTTGAAGAATTTTGAAAAGAATAATGGGCGAATGTTGCACAATCCAGGTGTGGAAAGCTCTTAGAGACTTACCCAGAGACTCACAGCTTTAATCGCTGCCAAAGGTGCTTCTACAAAGTATAAACCTAGGGGTGTGAATACTTATGTAAATGACACATTTCTGTGTAACATTTTCAACAAAAAAAAAGTCTAAAAACATGTTTTCACTTTGCCATTATGGGGTATTGTGTGTAGATGGATGAGAAAACAAATAATTTGAAATAATTTTGAATTTGGGCTGTAACACATCAACATGTGGAATAAGTCAAGGGGTATGAATAATTCCGGAGGCACTGTACGCACATTGAGTGTGATGCTGTGAAAATGGCTTCCTCGCTAGAGGGTTTGCCAGTGGCTGGGTCTGTGCCACAAGCTATACCAGGCTCAGCAAAGATTATCCAGGCAGAGCAGACTGACAGATCCACTTGCACAAGACTACATCATCTTCTGGACAGAACACACTCTGAGCTAGTCTGTCATATAGGTCATTCAGGTTGCGTTTGGCCAGTGCTGTTCCCACGAGCAGCAGAGCTGAGTACACTCTTAACCCCATTCAATTGGTAGTCTCTCTCTCCTCCTTCAGTTCAGTTTCTCACCTTTCAGTATATGCTCATGCATATTTGATAAGTGTGTTGGCATGGATGACACAATCGACCCTTCACTAAACCCCACCCCAGAATTTAGGGCACCAATCACAGTGCTCCAATGGATAGCAACTGTTGCTGACTCCGACATCACCATTTAAATCGCATTAAATATATTTTATCTATTTGATTTAGAATTTTATAACCCTTTTAGGTCTAATTATTTATTATAATAATGTTTTTTTCTATAGCCCATAGAAATGTGTTGAATAACACATTCATACGGTGCATTCGGAAAGAATTCAGACCCCTTAACCTTTTCCACATTTTGTTACGTTAGAGCCTTATTTTAAAATGGATTTTTAAATAATTGTCATCAATCTACACACAATACCCCATAATGACAAAGCAAAAACACGTTTTTAGAAATTTTTAGCAAATTTATTAAAAATATAAAACTCACATTTTACATAAGTATTCAGACCCTTTACTCAGTACTTTGTTGAAGCACCTTTGGCAGCGATTGCAGCCTCGAGTCTTCTTGGGTATGATGCTACAAACTTGTCACAACTGTATTTGGGGAGTTTCTCCCATTCTTCTCTGCAGATCCTCTCAAGCTCTGTCAGGTTGGATGGGGTGCGTCACTGCACAGCTATTTTCAGGTCTCTCCAGAGATGTTAGATTGGGTTCAAGTCCGGGCTCTGGCTGGGCCACTCAAGGACATTCAGAGACTTGTCCCGAAGCCACTCCTGCGTTGTCTTGGCTGTGTGCTTAGGGTAGTTGTCCTGTTTGGAAGGTGAACCTTCAACCCAATCTGAGGTCCTGAGCGCTCTGGAGCAGGTTTTTATCAAGGATCTCTCTAATTCGCTTCGTTAATCTTTCCCTTGATCCTGACTAGTCTCCCAGTCTCTGCCACAGAATAACAACCCCACAGTATGAAGCTGCCACCACAATGCTTCACCTTAGGGATAGTGCCAGGTTTCCTCCAGACGCGACGCTTGGCATTCAGGCCAACAAGTTCAATTTTGATTTCATCAGACCAGAGAATTTTGTTTCTCATGGTCAGAGTCCTTTAGGTGCCTTTTTGGCAAACTCCAAGTGGGCTGTCATGTGCCTGTTACTTAGGAGTGGCTTCCGTCTGGCCATTCTACCATAAAGGCCTGATTGGTGGAGTGCTGCAGAGATGGTTGTCCTTCTGGAAAGTTATCCCATCTCCACAGAGGAACTCTGGAGCTCTGTCAGTGACCATCAGGTTCTTGGTCACCTCCCCTGATTGCTCAGTTTGGCCGGGCGGCCAGCTCTAGGAAGAATCTTGGTGGTTCCAAACTTCTTCCATTTAAGAGTGATGGAGGCCACTGTGTTCTTTGGGACCTTCAATGCTGCATACATTTTTTGGTACCCTTCCCCAGATCTGTACCTCAACACAATCCTGTCTCGGAGCTCTACAGACAATTCCTTTGACCTCATGGCTTTGGTTTTTGCTCTGACATGCAATTTCAACTGTGGGACCTTATATAGACAGGTGTGTGCCTTTCCAAATCATGTCCAATGAATGTAATTTACCACAGGTGGACTCCAATCAAGTTGTAGAAACATCTCAAGGATGATGAATGGAAACATGATGCACCTGGAGCTCAATTTCGAGTCTCATAGCAAAGGGTCTGAATACATATGTAAATAAGATATTTGCTAAAATTTCTAAAAACCTGTTTTCCCTTTGTTATTATGGGGTATTGTGTGTAGATTGATGAGGACTTTGATTTATTTAATCCATTTTAAAATAAGGCTGTAACGTAACAAAATATGGAAAAAGGGAAGGTCTGAATACGTTCTGAATGCACTGTACATGTCAAAAAAGTAATAGCAAGGAATAAGGTTTTGAAGTGTCTGTCCTATATCTAGGAGATAGAAGAAAGCTCAGGAAATATTTTTTGTTTTTTGGACACATATTTAACCCCTTATTTTTGTTGCTACAAAACTACATCCATACTTCCATTCGTTTGTATGGGTTACCTTCAGACGAGTCCCGTGACACTTGTGGGGGTCGTAGAGCAAATCAGAGAACACCATCATATTAGCTTATAGCTGAAATAGTTCGGATGCTACAGATGTTTTCGTGAAGACCGATTTTTTTGGGATGTCTCATGGTCTGACAAACACAGCTATAACTCGGCCACCTTCCATTGCAGATGCGGAAGGCCGACATAGGCGGCTACAGTGGATTGAGACGCAGCCCATGCAAAAAATAGATATTTCTCGCTTTACTTTGATGGGGATATTTTAAAAATGTTTATTTAGAGTGCGTCAATAGACTTAAGGATTAATGTAACTTGTTTTCTCAATTTATGTTAGCTAAATTAGCAATGTTATGACTACAACTCACATCTGCTGGTTATAGCTTTGACTGCATGCTGACAGTGAATTCAGTCAGCCATTCATAGCCTAGCTACACTGCAAACAATTTTACCAGGTTCCTGTGAAGCAATGACAAAGGTGCATAAAGATGACGGTCCCCATGTACTTACCACAAATGCTAGGTTTCCTTTATTGTACATTGCTCTCCATTTACTCTAGCTCCAGGAAGGCGGCAATTTGAAAAAACGAAAAAGTAGATTGTGCTGATGTACTGGCACATTGAACCATGTTGCGCGCCGTAGTTTAAGAACTCTGTGGGTAGTGCTAAAAACAATGACATAATATCAGAATTCTTCCATCTTCATGCACCTTCGCCATCGTAATGACAGTCCACCACAACATATCCAGGAGTTTCCTAATTAGCAAGGGATAATCTGTGTTTAATAGAAACAGTTTGAGATCGTTGTGAGGGGATTTCGCCAGTGGTTGACCTTCCCGGGAAAATGAAGTCCGAGGTTGCAACATTAACCAAGAGTGCAACATTAACCAAGAGTGCCAGGGCTTAGCAAAGGGTCAATTGTAATGATTATCAATGTCTTGTTGACCACTGAATTTAGCGTACGTGTATTGAATATAACTTACTAACTGACTTTATTTGGTTTTCCCTCCCCAACACCATAGGCTCAAAATGAACGGCTTAAAATCAGTCATGCTGTACTGCATTGATAATTACAACCATATAGTGGCTAACCGCTGCCTCATTTGGCAATGTATGCTGTCTTTTCTCCTATAGGTGATCCGGACCACTGGCTTCATGAAGGGACTCTATGCAGAGACGGAGATGAAGTCAGACAATGTAAAGGTAAGACATTTTCTCCATTTGATCACTTGGAGGAATTTGTGAAACACCAGAACAGACTGAAGTCATGTAGTAGGCCCCCTGCCTATGAATATGTTGATTTGGCCTAGTAGTTATACTCTACTGTGACAGATCGAATGAGTAATTGTCTATTTCACAGCCATTATGAAATAAATGATACATAGCCTAGCTCTTAAGGCGTCCGCATGCTTCCCAACCGGAACAGTTCGTTCATATATTATGAAGAAATTGTTCGTTATGGTCTTCGGCAAGGGTTTTTTCGGGCGTTTTTTTTAAGGGAGTATGCGAGCACACTCGTTCGGCTAGCTGAGTTCAGCTACGTGCCAGCCGAACCAAAGCATGCAGAAGCCTTTAGGCCTATCTCATACAGTGATTGCTCTGTGAGCTGGGAATGAATCAGACTCTCACTATCTGCTTAGACGGGGGCTTTTTAACACTAAGTGGATAGATATCATCTCACTGTGTTTCTGCCGACACTTATCTTTGTGTGTGTTTCACTTCCAGCACTCTGCCTGGGTGTGAAAAACATCCAGCCATGACATGGCATGAGTGTAACCCAAGAAGGCTTGTGTAGTTATATAACCTAAAACTCTCAGTACTAGAGTGGTCAGTGGGCTGTGACTCAGGCCTTATCAGAGGTGGCGTAATGCCACACTGTTGTGTTATCAGACCACTGGCTGACCTGGGGTCAGAGTCTTTGCGAGACAACCATCTTCTCACACAATAGGGCAGGAGACTGTAAACCCATAGCGTGGCCTCATCCGTCCTCCAAACTGGCCTAAGATCAGTTTCAGAGAGACCACCTGTAATGGTTTGACCTGGCACATACAATTTAGAAGTGTAAACCCATACTCACCCACGTTATTACAGACACGCAACCTGACTCGAGATCAGCTTTCAGGCACTTTTCTCTCCAACTGGCCCTAAGTCAGTATGAGAGACTGGCCTGAGAACAGTAGGTAGATGTGGTAATAGCAGAATGGAAACCCAGAGGGGGAACAAAGTAGGGCTGTCCCTGACAAAAAAATAATATTTGTTGACCGAATGTCATTTGTGGTTACCAATCGATTCGTCTACATTTTAAACGTGTATTTTTCCATATAGATACACCCTATGTGTTTTAATAAAATCAACTATATGCATTGAGCTTATGTGATGCTTTAAGCTTAAGGTTTGATGAAATAAGAAATGCCTCGAGGGCATCAGAGATCTAGATAACCAGAAGAAAATAAACTTAACCTGACACAACTATTCTCCTCCCACTCCTGCTGGCTTTCACAGATTCTGTCATTACTCTCCTGAAGTTGCCGGTAATAGGCTACACGAGGAGTCGGCAACCTTTCTCATGTGGAATGCAATTTGTGACCGACCGGCTCAAATCGGTCTTATGTAGCAAAATTTGAAATTGTGTTTTTACATTGGATAAAAGTAGAGACTCAGAGCCTCAAAATGGTATATCATACACTGCATTTGAGGAACAATGGGAAAGTAATTCTGTTTTGGAATTTGATAAACTTGTAAACTCACTTTTGAGAAAATGGTCTTTGAATGTTTTGGTACCTACTGGAGAGCTCTCCCTTGTCTACACCCATTCAGCATTGTTCACACCCTCTTAAACCAGCCCCACCCATCTCTTTAAGGATTCACATGTGAGTAAACAGTGAGTAGTGTAGTAAAGATTAAGACTAAAAGTAGTAGCCTACAATAAGGAAAAATTCCAGGTGAACAGAAAGTGTTCAGATAAAAATATTTTATAAATATTAGATGACGCTTACCCAGACACACTTGTCTAAATTGATGGGTCATGTGAAAGAAATGCTATAACCCCCAGCCACATCTTGCTAAGTGGATGGGTCTCTACAGAAAGTGTAAACGGTACAGCCAAATGGTTACTTGCATAGTAGCAATATCAGAAATAGATAGTGTTAATAACAATATCAATAACAGTATCAGTGAAGAGGTAGTTATATGCATACAATCAGGGGTAAAGTGGCTGAGCAGCAGGAAAAAATAATAAATACACTACCATTCAAAACTTTGGGGTCACTTAGAAATGTCCTTGTTTTCGAAAGAAAAGCAAGAAATAAATGGCAAGAAACAAATAACTTTCTTCTGAAACTCGTCAGTCTATTCAAAACACCAGTCTCAACGTCAACTGTGAAGAGGCGACTCCGGGATGCTGACCTTCTAGGCAGAGTTGCAAAGAAAAAGCCATATCTCAGACTGGCCAATAAAAATAAACGATTAAGATGGGCAGTATGAGATCTGGCTTTTTCTTTGCAACTCTGCCTAGAAGGTCAGCATCCCAGAGCTGCCGCTTCACTGTTGACGTTGAGACTGGTGTTTTGCGGGTACTATTTAATGAAGCTGCCAGTTGAGGACCTGTGAGGCGTCTGTTTCTCAAACTAGAGACTAATGTATTTGTCCTCTTGCTCAGTTGTGCACTGGGGCCTCCCACTCCTCTTTCTATTCTGGTTAGAGACAGTTTGCGCTGTTCTATGAAGGGAGTAGTACACAGCGTTGTACGAGATCTTCAGTTTCTTGGCAATTTCTCGCATGGAATAGCCTTCATTTCTCAGAACAAGAATTGGAACACAGGACTGATGGTTGCCGATAATGGGCCTCTGTATGCCGATGTAGATATTCCATTAAAAATCTGCTGTTTCCAGCTACAATAGCCATTTACAACATTAACAATGTCTACACTGTATTTCTGATCAATTTGATGTTATTTGAATGGACAAAAAAATGGCTTTTCTTTCGAAAACAAGGACATTTCTAAGTGACCCCATACTTTTGAATGGTAGTGTATATTAGCAGCAACGTATGGCGTGTGTTAGGAGGGAGCCATTTAAATAGAGGCACTGCAAATAGTGCTGTTGACTGCTCCGTCCGAACCACGCATGAACAAGGGAATCTAAATTCGGAGAGCCTGTTTCTGTCCTGCCCTTGACTTTGGTTTAGGGCATGTGATGTCCATAGCCTCTTTGTCGCAAAACTCCCTGATCTTCTCAAAAATATACGTTTGTCTAGCTGTGTCCAGTCCAGGTGGTGCTTGTACAAGCAGACCATCTATGGGAGGAAGGATGTCAGCGTTGCGCAGCAGCTGAAACCTGGTCACGACTGAGTCCGAACTCTCCTTGGCGACAACAACACCAGGCTCCAGAGCATTGAAGCTGTAAAACAGGAAGACATTACGACCTTGCACAACATAATTTCACCTCCCAAGTTTAGATAAGAAGAATAACCTCATACAATGCAATGAAAATGATATTCACCTGATGCGCTGGTACTGCTTGATCTGTGGCAGCGGCCTGAAGTACGGAGTCAGGTGTTGTTGCCAGCCATAGCTTTCCACCAGCACTGTACCATCCTCTAGTCCAACTAGTTGGATGTTGACCCCTGTCACATTGCTGTCCTTCACAACACCAGCAATCTCAAACAAAGTGTTCACTCTGGTCTTTCTGAAGTGCTGCTTGATGAAGCCGAAGCACCAGTCAGGGGCAAACTTGGTGTGGCCTGTGATCAGGAAGTGAAGGTCCAGACTGTGGTGGCATCGATTCCTTGTAGAAAAGCCACACTGCTGCTTTTGTCACATGGGATGGCAGCAGCTTTCCACCAAAGTGTTTGTCCTGGGTGGCGTCCTGGTAATGCTATTGCATTATCCTCTGCATAGTTGTTGATGAAGCTAACCACTCGCTGCAAGTCCTTATGCTTCATGTGTAACCTGTGCTTGCTTGGGCCAGCTCTCTTTTTGATGGGAGGCATTAGACCATTCTCCTTTTATGACTGGTGGAGGAGAGTCAGGCGTGTTCTACTGATGCTGAAAGACAAATTCCAGATACAAATATTTTAGCATTATTATAAATAGATAGCCGTAATCGCAGTCAGACACACCTGGCTAACTTGATGGGTCGTCAGCTAGCTACCTAACAGTATGCTTTAACTTGGGGTCTTTTGTTTAGACATGTAGCTAACTCATAAATGGAATTAAATAAACCCAAACTGTTTCTCACAAGTGTAGCATAGGTTGTGCACTCTGCAAACAATGTGTCCACTCCGACAATGATAACAGAAAGACTGGAATAATAATGTTGAATGCATTAACAGAAATGACCGTAACCAAAGTAACAAACATTGTAGATTAGAAATTACATTTACATTTACATTAAAGGAATTAACAGTAAATGTACTACTGGTGAAATATGTAATGGGGAATTGATATACACTAACAATCAAACGCAAACAAGTCACACAATGAAGTTATGAAACAATGAATGTGCACAAATTGGCCGGAGAGAGCGCATTCTGGAGAGAGAAGTGCATCTGGGCGCATGGTCAATTGGACGTCTGCATTGGCCATGCAGCATTTACGGTGATATTATTGCCTCAGCAGAAGTCAGGGCATTCATACTTCTTGCGCTTTGCGGAGCAGTGCAGAGCTGTTGTCAAGGAATTTAGTTTGTATTTCTACAGGACAATGACCCAAAACACACCTCCAGGCTGTCTAAGGGCTATTTGACCAAGAAGGAGAGTGATGCAGTGTCACCAGCAAAGCACCATCACACCACCTCCTCCATGCTTCACGTTGGGAACCACACATGCAGAGATCATCCGTTCACCTACTCTGCGTCTCACAAAGACACGGCGGTTGGAACCAAAAATCTAAAATGTGGACTCATCAGACCAAAGGACAGATTTCCACCGGTCTAATGTCCATTGCTCGTGTTTCTTGACCCAAGCAAGTCTCCTCTTCTTATTGGTGTCCTTTAGTAGTGGTTTCTTTGCAGTAATTCGACCATGAAGGCCTGATTCACGGTCTCCTCTGAACAGTTGATGTTGAGATGTGTCTGTTACTTGAACTCTGTGAAGCATTTATTGGGGTTCAATTTCTGAGGCTGGGAACTCTAATGAACATAACTCTGGGTCTTCCTTTCCTGTGTCGGTCCTCATGAGAGCCAGTTTCATCATAGTGCTTGATGGTTTTTGCAACTGCACTTGAAGAACTTTCAAAGTTCTTGAAATTATCCAGATACTGACCTTCATGTCTTAAAGTAATGTTTTTTCTCTTTGCTTATTTGAGCTGTTCTTGTCATAATATGGGACTTGGTCTTTTACAAAATAGGGCTATCTTCTGTATACCACCCCTACCTTGTCACAACACAACTGATTGGCTCCAACGCATTAATAAGGAAAGAAATTCCACAAATTAACTTTTAACAAGGCACAGCTGTTAATTGAAATGCATTCCAGGTGACTATCTCATGAAGCTGGTTGAGAGAATGCCAAGAGTGTGCAAAGCTGTCATTAAGGCAAAGGGTGGCTACTTTGAAGAATCTCAAATATAAAATATATTTTGATTTGTTTAACACTTTTTTCGGTTGCTACACGAATCCATATGTGTTATTTCATAGTTTTGATGTCTTCACTATTTTACTACTATGTAGAAAATAGTTTTAAAAATAAATAAGTTGAATGAGAAGGTGTGTCCAAACTTTTGACTGGTACTGTACATGCATGCATACATATTTCTTACTGCTGGACTAAAACAATCTGTCGAACAACAGCCTAACGACCAAACAATCGACCAGTCGACTAATTGAGGACAGCCCTAGAACAAAGCGAGGGCAAGCGCCAACCAGAGTGTTTACACGCCTGATCTCCCTCTAAAGCGATAGGGATGGACAGTGAGCGGCACTAGGGCTGTGACGGTCCTGGAATTTTATAAGACAATAATTGGCCTGCAAAAATAATAAAACTGCATGTGCTATGTGTGCTGCTGCTGAATTGTGGGGGGTGTTGCCTAGGCATCCGAAGACTCGTATGCTCCAACACCTTGCTTGTTTCAGCAAGGAGGAGTTCCATCACGTTAAGAGTCCATGTTACCGCAGATAAAGGTCCATGTTACAGCACGAATGCCTGGCCGTCCCGTCTTCAGTCAGCTGTTCATTGAACAAAACATTTATAATATGTAAACGGTAATGATGGTTATTAACATTTTGACGGCCTTCATCCATAACTGTTGGTCACATCGTTATACGCTAATTGTGCCAACCCTCAGTGGCGCCACACTGATGTGACAGCAGGGTAATTTAATTTGAGTTTAATCTCTTTTTGAAAGCATCTCTTTTTATTTAAACAGCATTCCATACAGTGGGGAAAAAAGTATTTAGTCAGCCACCAATTGTGCAAGTTCTCCCACTTAAAAAGATGAGAGAGACCTGTAATTTTCATCATAGGTACACGTCAACTATGACAGACAAAATGAGGGGAAAAAATCCAGAAAATCACATTGTAGGATTTTTAATGAATTTATTTGCAAATTATGGTTGAAAATAAGTATTTGGTCAATAACAAAAGTTTCTCAATACTTTGTTATATACCCTTTGTTGGCAATGACACAGGTCAAACGTTTTCTGTAAGTCTTCACAAGGTTTTCACACACTGTTGCTGGTATTTTGGCCCATTCCTCCATGCAGATCTCCTCTAGAGCAGTGATGTTTTGGGGCTGTCGCTGGGCAACACGGACTTTCAACTCCCTCCAAAGATTTTCTATGGGGTTGAGATCTGGAGACTGGCTAGGCCACTCCAGGACCTTGAAATGCTTCTTACGAAGCCACTCCTTCGTTGCCCGGGCGGTGTTTTTTGGGATCATTGTCATGCTGAAAGACCCAGCCACGTTTCATCTTCAATGCCCTTGCTGATGGAAGGAGGTTTTCACTCAAAATCTCACGATACATGGCCCCATTCATTCTTTCCTTTACACGGATCAGTCGTCCTGGTCCCTTTGCAGAAAAACAGCCCCAAAGCATGATGTTTCCACCCCCATGCTTCACAGTAGGTATGGTGTTCTTTGGATGCAACTCAGCATTCTTTGTCCTCCAAACACGACGAGTTGAGTTTTTACCAAAAAGTTATATTTTGGTTTCATCTGACCATATGACATTCTCCCAATCCTCTTCTGGATCATCCAAATGCACTCTAGCAAACTTCAGACGGGCCTGGACATGTACTGGCTTAAGCAGGGGGACACGTCTGGCACTGCAGGATTTGAGTCCCTGGCGGCGTAGTGTGTTACTGATGGTAGGCTTTGTTACTTTGGTCCCAGCTCTCTGCAGGTCATTCACTAGGTCCCCCCCGTGTGGTTCTGGGATTTTTGCTCACCGTTCTTGTGATCATTTTGACCCCACGGGGTGAGATCTTGCGTGGAGCCCCAGATCGAGGGAGATTATCAGTGGTCTTGTATGTCTTCCATTTCCTAATAATTGCTCCCACAGTTGATTTCTTCAAACCAAGCTGCTTACCTATTGCAGATTCAGTCTTCCCAGCCTGGTGCAGGTCTACAATTTTGTTTCTGGTGTCATTTGACAGCTCTTTGGTCTTGGCCATAGTGGAGTTTGGAGTGTGACTGTTTGAGGTTGTGGACAGGTGTCTTTTTATACTGATAACAAGTTCAAACAGGTGCCATTAATACAGGTAACGAGTGGAGGACAGAGGAGCCTCTTAAAGAAGAAGTTACAGGTCTGTGAGAGCCAGAAATCTTGCTTGTTTGTAGGTGACCAAATACTTATTTTCCACCATAATTTGCAAATAAATTCATAAAAAATCCTACTATGTGATTTTCTGGAATTTTTTTTCTCAATTTGTCTGTCATAGTTGACGTGTACCTATGATGAAAATTACAGGCCTCTCATCTTTTTAAGTGGGAGAACTTGCACAATTGGTGGCTGACTAAATACTTTTTTTCCCCACTGTATAAACCCCAGTCGTACTTTATCAAATGCCTTTTCGAAGTCTGCTATGAATAGTAGGCCTGGCTTCCCAGATTTTTCATAGTGTTCTATTGTTTCCAGTACTTGCCTTATATTATCTCCAATGTATCGCCCATGTAAAAAACCTGTCTGATTAGAATTAATAATGTCCGACAATACCTTTTTAATTCTATGCGCTATATATTTTGCTATAATTTTTGCATCACAACACTGAAGTGTAAGGGGCCGGCAATTTTTTAAATGGACTGGATCTTTATATTTTCCACTTGTATCCTGTTTCAGTAATAATGAAATCAGACCTTCTTATTGAGTGTCTGATAATCTACCATTTACATAGGAGTGGTTAAAACATGCTAATAACGGTCCTCTGAGTATTTCAAAAAAGGTTTGGTATACCTCGACTGGTATGCCATCCAACCCTGGAGTTTTCTGGACTAAAAGTCTTTAATTGCATCCAGAAGTTCCTCCCCTGTAATTTCACCTTCACATGAGTCTTTCTGTATGGCTGTTAATTTTACATTATCAATAGAAAAAAAAATCTCTACAATTTGCTTCAGTTAGAGGAGATTGAGGCGACTGAAACAAAAACATATGCTTAAAGTACCTTGTTTCCTCCTTCAAAATATAATTTGGTGAATCATGGGTGACTCTGTCATTTGTAACCAGTTTCAATAAATTATTTTTGGTAGCATTCCTATGTTGAAGATTAAGAAATAATTTGGTGCATTTTTTCCCCATATTCCATCCAGTTTGCTTTATTTTTATAATATATTACACTTTTTTGAATAAGTTTCTCCATTTCTTTTAGTTTTTCCTCTAATTTATTCTGAGCCTCTGTTAGTTTTTATTGATATCTATCTGTTCTGTTAGACCTTCTTTTTCCTTTGTTAGTGTGGACTCTTTTCACCTAAATTGCTTTTGTTTTCGAGATGAGTACTGAATTGCATGGCCTCTAAAGACACATTTAAAGGTGTCCCATACAATAAGGGGATTTGCTGTACCTATGTTATGTCGGAAAAAATCAGTTATAAATTCCTCTGTCCTAGTTAAAAACAAGTTATCATCCAATAGGATTACATTTCCAATATCCTCGCCCACGTGGAAATTCAGTAAGAGTAATGTATATGCCAATTATATGATGGTCCGACCGCATTCTGTCCCCATCAACCCTTTTTAAACTTTTGGTGCCAACGAGAATGACATAAGAAAGAAGTCAAGACGACTAGCTTGATTGAGTCTCCGCCATGTATATCTCACTAGATCAGGATATTTAAGCCTCCATATACAGTGGGGGAAAAAAGTATTTAGTCAGCCACCAATTGTGCAAGTTCTCCCACTTAAAAAGATGAGAGAGGCCTGTAATTTTCATCATAGGTACACGTCAACTATGACAGACAAATTGAGGAAAAAAAATCCAGAAAATCACATTGTAGGATTTTTAATGAATTTATTTGCAAATTATGGTGGAAAATAAGTATTTGGTCACCTACAAACAAGCAAGATTTCTGGCTCTCACAGACCTGTAACTTCTTCTTTAAGAGGCTCCTCTGTCCTCCACTCGTTACCTGTATTAATGGCACCTGTTTGAACTTGTTATCAGTATAAAAGACACCTGTCCACAACCTCAAACAGTCACACTCCAAACTCCACTATGGCCAAGACCAAAGAGCTGTCAAAGGACACCAGAAACAAAATTGTAGACCTGCACCAGGCTGGGAAGACTGAATCTGCAATTGGTAAGCAGCTTGGTTTGAAGAAATCAACTGTGGGAGCAATTATTAGGAAATGGAAGACATACAAGGCCACTGATAATCTCCCTCGATCTGGGGCTCCACGAAGATCTCACCCGTGGGGTCAAAATGATCACAAGAACGGTGAGCAAAAATCCCAGAACCACACAGGGGGACCTAGTGAATGACCTGCAGAGAGCTGGGACCAAAGTAACAAAGCCTACCATCAGTAACACACTACGCCGCCAGGGACTCAAATCCTGCAGTGCCAGACGTGTCCCCCTGCTTAAGCCAGTACATGTCCAGGCCCATCTGAAGTTTGCTAGAGTGCATTTGGATGATCCAGAAGAGGATTGGGAGAATGTCATATGGTCACATGAAACCAAAATATAACTTTTTGGTAAAAACTCAACTCGTCGTTTTTGGAGGACAAAGAATGCTGAGTTGCATCCAAAGAACACCATACCTATTGTGAAGCATGGGGGTGGAAACATCATGCTTTGGGGCTGTTTTTCTGCAAAGGGACCTGGACGACTGATCTGTGTAAAGGAAAGAATGAATGGGGCCATGTATCGTGAGATTTTGAGTGAAAACCTCCTTCCATCAGCAAGGGCATTGAAGATAAAACATGGCTGGGTCTTTCAGCATGACAATGATCCCAAACACACCGCCCGGGCAACGAAGGAGTGGCTTCGTAAGAAGCATTTCAAGGTCCTGGAGTGGCCTAGCCAGTCTCCAGATCTCAACCCCATAGAAAATCTTTGGAGGGAGTTGAAAGTCCGTGTTGCCCAGCGACAGCCCCAAAACATCACTGCTCTAGAGGAGATCTGCATGGAGGAATGGGCCAAAATCAAATCAAATCAAATCAAATCAAATTTTATTGGTCACATGCGCCGAATACAACAGGTGCAGACATTACAGTGAAATGCTTACTTACAGCCCTTAACCAACAGTGCATTTATTTTAAACAAAAAAGTAAGAATAAAACAACAACAAAAAAGTGTTGAGAAAAAAAGAGCAGAAGTAAAAAATAAAGTGACAGTAGGGAGGCTATATATACAATAGAATAAAGTGACAGTAGGGAGGCTATATATACAGGGGGGTACCGTTGCATAGTCAATGTGCGGGGGCACCGGCTAGTTGAGGTAGTTGAGGTAATATGTACATGTGGGTAGAGTTAAAGTGACTATGCATAAATACTTAACAGAGTAGCAGCAGCGTAAAAAGGATGGGGTGGGGGGGCAGTGCAAATAGTCCGGGTAGCCATGATTAGCTGTTCAGGAGTCTTATGGCTTGGGGGTAGAAGCTGTTGAGAAGTCTTTTGGACCTAGACTTGGCACTCCGGTACCGCTTGCCGTGCGGTAGCAGAGAGAACAGTCTATGACTAGGGTGACTGGAGTCTTTGACAATTTTGAGGGCCTTCCTCTCTGCTACCGTGTGTGAAAACCTTGTGAAGACTTACAGAAAACGTTTGACCTGTGTCATTGCCAACAAAGGGTATATAACAAAGTATTGAGAAACTTTTGTTATTGACCAAATACTTATTTTTCACCATAATTTGCAAATAAATTCATTAAAAATCCTACAATGTGATTTTCTGGATTTTTTTCTCTCATTTTGTCTGTCATAGTTGACGTGTACCTATGATGAAAATTACAGGCCTCTCTCATCTTTTTAAGTGGGAGAACTTGCACAATTGGTGGCTGACTAAATACTTTTTTCCCCCACTGTATCTACTAGTTCTAATGTATCCATGACATTCACGATTTCCTTAAGAGCATGAGGGTGATTGTTTGTAGTGTGATTTCCTTTACGGTCCATTGAGCTATTTAAAATGGTATTATAATCTCCCACCATAATAATAGAGTCTTGAATTGCTTGCAAGGTCGATCATTTATTATATATATTTTCAAAGAAGTGTGGATCATCTTTATTTGGTCCGTAAAGGTTAATGAGCCATATTTGTTTATGGTCCAATAACATATTTAAAATAATCCATCTACCTTGTTTATCTGTTTGAACAATTTGCACATTCTGATCGAAGTTACTGTTAATTAATATCATCACCCCTTTTGAGTTTCTTATCCCATGGGAGAAGTATATTTCACCCCCCCCCCCCCCCCCATTCCTTTTTCCATGGAACTTCATCTAGAATTGTTGAATGGGTTTCCTGTAAACATTAGATACTATATTCCTTCTCTTTGAGCCATGTAAATATTGTTCTTTTGTTATTTTCTGCTAAACCATTACAATTATAACTGGCTATACTTATTTCACCACATACCATAATGAGATACAAGTTTCAAATCTATTTGTCATTATACAGTGAGGGAAAAAAGTATTTGATCCCCTGCTGATTTTGTACGTTTGCCCACTGATAAAGACATGATCAGTCTATAATTTTAATGGTAGGTTTATTTGAACAGTGAGAGACAGAATTAACAACAAAACAATCCAGAAAAACGCATGTCAAAAATGTTATGAATTGATTTGCATTTTAATGAGGGAAATAAGTATTTGACCCCTCTGCAAAACATGACTTAGTACTTGGTGGCAAAACCCTTGTTGGCAATCACAGAGGTCAGACGTTTATTGTAGTTGGCCACCAGGTTTGCACACATCTCAGGAGGGATTTTGTCCCACTCCTCTTTGCAGATCTTCTCCAAGTCATTAAGGTTTCGAGGCTGACGTTTGGCAACTCGAACCTTCAGCTCCCTCCACAGATTTTCTATGGGATTAAGGTCTGGAGACTGGTGCTTCTTCTTGAGCCACTCCTTTGTTGCCTTGGCCGTGTGTTTTGGGTCATTGTCATGCTGGAATACCCATCCACGACTAATTTTCAATGCCCTGGCTGAGGGAAGGTGGTTCTCACCCAAGATTTGACGGTACATGGCCCCGTCCATCGTCCCTTTGATGCGGTGAAGTTGTCCCCTTAGCAGAAAAACACCCCCAAAGCATAATGTTTCCACCTCCATGTTTGACGGTGGGGATGGTGTTCTTGGGGTCATAGGCAGCATTCCTCCTCCTCCAAACACGGTGAGTTGAGTGGATGCCAAAGAGCTCGATTTTGGTCTCATCTGACCACATCACTTTCACCCAGTTCTCCTCTGAATCATTCAGATGTTCATTGGCAAACTTCAGACGGGCCTGTATATGTGTTTTCTTGAGCAGGGGACCTTGCGGGCGCTGCAGGATTTCAGTCCTTCACGGCGTAGTGTGTTACCAATTGTTTTCTTGGTGACTATGGTCGCAGCTGCCTTGAGATCATTGACAAGATCGTCCCGTGTAGTTCTGGGCTGATTCCTCACCGTTCTCATGATCATTGCAACTCCACGAGGTGAGATCTTGCATGGAGCCCCAGGCCGAGGGAGATTGACAGTTATTTTGTGTTTCTTCCATTTGCGAATAATCACACCAGCTGTTGTCACCTTCTCACCAAGCTTTTTGGCGATGGTCTTGTAGCCCATTCCAGCCTTGTGTAGGTCTACAATCTTGTCCCTGACATCCTTGGAGAGCTCTTTGGTCTTGGCCATGGTGGAGAGTTTGAAATCTGATTGATTGATTGCTTCTGTGGACAGGAGTCTTTTATACAGGTAACAAGCTGGGATTAGGAGCACTCCCTTTAAGAGTGTGCTCCTAACTTAGCTCGTTACCTGCATAAAAGACACCTGGAAGCCAGAAATCTTTCTGATTGAGAGGGGTCAAATATTTATTTCCCTAATAAAATGCAAATCAATTTATAACATTTTTGACATGCGTTTTTCTGGATTTCTTTGTTGTTATTCTGTCTCTCACTGTTCAAATAAACCTACCATTAAAATTATAGACTGATCATTTCTTTGTCAGTGGGCAAACGTACAAAATCAGCAGGGGATCAAATAATTTTACCAATAGAAAATACCATAGTGATTGAGTGTCCATATAGCTATACCATGATATTTGCAATGTTACTAAATAACCCTCCAATTGTTCTCCACTAATTCCCCTGCTAAAACAGCTCCCCATCCTAAATTGGGCCATCATCCCAGTGATCAGCATAACACCCCTGTCCCCCCGGATCCCTATGCCCCCGAGGGGCCAGGACCCATCCATCGAAAACATCACATAGTGCCACCCACAAAACCGAAGCAGGTCAACTGCCAAAAGCATTTCCAATGCTCTCACCTCAATATATTTATATACAGTGGGGAGAACAAGTATTTGATACACTGCCGATTTTGCAGGTTTTCCTACTTACAAAGCATGTAGAGGTCTGTAATTGTTATCATAGGTACACTTCAACTGTGAGTGACGGAATCTAAAACAAAAATCCAGAAAATCACATTGTATGATTTTTAAGTAATTAATTTGCATTTTATTTAGATTCCGTCTCTCACAGTTGAAGTGTACCTATGATAAAAATTACAGACCTCTACATGCTTTGTAAGTAGGAAAACCTGCAAAATCGGCAGTGTATCAAATACTTGTTCTCCCCACTGTAGCTATTTGAAAAATATCTATTCACATATCTTGCATATTTTATTTTCCATCATTATCAATTAATGAGCATAATAATGTCGGCATTCATGCGTAGGATTTTAACCTATAACCTGAATTATATGCAGCAAAGCATCCCCAATCCATCACACCACCACCACCATGCTTGACCTTTGGTATGATGTTCTTACTATGGAATGCAGAGTTTGGTTTTCGCCAGGTATTTCTGGAACCATGTCGTCCAAAAAGTTATACTTTTGAATCATCTGTCCATAGAACGTTCTTCCAAGAGTCTTGATGATCATCCAGGTGCTTTTTGGCAAACTTGAGTCAACTTTTTGGACGAGATGGGTCCCATTATGCCTGGCGAAAACCAAACACTACCTTCCACAGTAAGAACATCATACCAAAGGTCAAGCGTGGTGGTGTGATGGTTTGGGGATGCTTTGCTGCCTCAGGACCTGGACGACTTGCCTTAATAGAAGGAACCATGAATTCTGCTCTGTATCAGAGAATTTTACAGGAGAATGTCAGACCATCCGTCTGTGACCTGAAGCGGAGCTGGGTCATGCAGCAAGACAATGATCCAAAACACACAATCAAGTCTACATGTGAATTGCTAAAAAGCAACAAATTGGAAGTTTTGGAATGGCCTAGTCAAAGTCCAGACCTAATCCCAATTGAGATGTTGTGGCAGGACTTGAAATGAGCAGTTCATGCTTGAAAACCCACACGTCACTGAGTTAAAGCAGTTCTGCATGGAAGAGTGGGCCAAAATTCCTCCACAGTGACGTGAGAGACTGATCAACAACTACAGGAAGCATTTGGTTGGAGTCATTGCAGCTAAAGGTGGCACAACCAGTTATTGAGTGTAAGGGGGCAATTACTTTTTCACACAGGGGAATTGGGTGTTGCATAACTTTGTTTATGAAATAAATATGTAATTGTTGTGTTATTTATTCACTTATGTTCCTTTATCTAATATTAGATTTTGGTTGAAGATCTGATAACATTCAGTATCACAAATATGCAAAAGTAGAGAAAATTAGAAAGGGGGCAAATACTTTTTCCTAGCACTGTATGTTCAATCCTAGGTGATGGAGATCAGATCCACCCTCTTCACCTGAGACACAAACACTCTGGTCCCCCGTTGTAACCATTTTCCCAAGCATCTCCGTGCAGTCATACCTTTGATTATTTTGGGCCACAATAGTAAGCCCCCTCTCTGATTGTCCGAGTGTGACCCCCCTCCCCATGGGTTACTGCAGCCAGTGTTGCCAGCACTGCCACTACCTGGGTGGGGGTACCCCACCGGAATCCCCACCGGCTAGGTACAAGGTCGTCAAGGTTCTCATTAGCAGCTTTGAGAATTTCCTTGTATATTATGCTCCCCCATCGGGGGCTCTGGCTTTGTAGGACCAACCCTGCCAGGCAGGCTCAGAATCTTGAGGGGGCGGTGCTGCTCAAGTAGGTCTCTGACCGCATTTATTTATCTGTTTTGGCTGCATATAGGCAATTCACAGCAGGTCCATAAAACAGATGGGAACTTTTCTTTGGTGTATGGGTCGCTCAGGTGGGTGTCCAGGATATAGGGTTGGGGATCGTTCCATCATGATAGGACAATAAAAAAATAGATTAGATGTATACTATATTTAAAAATGTATATCCCTCATCTACACAAAATTGAAAGCTCCCTCTCACAACCCCTGCTCATAGACACCCGTTGGTTCTGGGATATGCAACCATTTCCCCTCTCACTCACTTAACGCCAGAATTTTCCAAACACAAAAACGCACTCCACATGGCTGATTGCGGAGGATAGGGGCCGAGCGCGCGCCTGCATCCCATGCCTGCCGCAAGGGGGAAAGGACACCAGGGAGAACACAGGACCAACCACAACAACCGTCCGCCAAAACCACAATTGCCTGCCAAAAATGCAATGTTCTAATTAGTTGTATTTGAAGATGTGTTATTCTGCTTGTTATCTTTTCTTGTTATATCGTCTTATCCTTTTATAAAATACTATACATGTTCTTTACAATCCCTATCATGGCTAGTATTGGGTGTTCCATTATTCGACTCCTCTATTAGAACTTTCAGAATAGCCATGGAGTAATCTTTGTGTCTCGGAACATTTGGTTGTCAATATACAGTTTATCGACAACGAGTGCAACACATTTCCCTTTTAAACTATTTTCCTTGAAGATTGGATACAGAACTTTGCGCATTTGTGCAATCTCCCTCGGAAACTGATCATTCATGCCTATTTTCGTGCCAGCAAGTCTTTTACCTAGGCTTTTAACCATTGCTTTATCCTTAAAAAAAACAAAATTTGCCAACGATTGGACACTCGTATTTCTGTCCTCCTTTGTCCGAAACGGTGTACACGTTCGAGTTGGATTTTATCGACAGCCTCGAGTGGAATCTGCAGCGCTGTAAGAAAGAAGTCCTTCACATTATTCTGAGTTACTTCTCCCTCTTTTTCCTGAATACCCGTAAGTACTAGATTTTCTCTCTTTGATCTAGTTTGGATGTCTAGTAAGGCTTCTCTCTGAAGGTTGTTCTCCTTTTTAAGTTCCCTAACGTCCGTTTCCATCTTAGTGACTGTCACGTTTAATTTTTTGGTTTCTTTCTCCATTATCGCAGCTTTTTCGTCACTCATTTCAAGACTAGCTTTCAACTCCTTTACATCCTTACTGACCAACTCTAGTATGCCCAGTTTGTCATTTATTGACTTCAACAGGTCTCTTTCCACACTTACCAGACCCAGTGGTGAAAAGCATAAATAATCTGTATCAGTCGACGAGTCGCGTTTTCTCTTGGGGATTGGTTCTCCTCGTTTATCTTCCGACATGTTTGGGTGTTGCGTGTTGTTGTAATATTTGTCTATATTTCTCTAGCCTTATGATATGTTTTGTGTTATTATCCAGATTGAATTTTATTAACTGCGAATATATGAAATGCTAATATTAAGTCTAACTTACTGATTTTTGAATATTATGTTTTTATCTTGAGGTGATTTGTACCGCTGTCTATTCAATACGCCATCTTGAAGGTTTGAGTGTGTGCTTTAAAAAAAACAGCCACTGCCCTTCTACCACCTTCCTTCCACCTGTTCTAGCTAATGTATACTGAGTCTTCTAGCACAAAATGGCTACCTCACTACACTCTTTGCTCTGGCCCATCCACTGCTCTTTCTTTAAAGCCTGAATATCAGCTGTGTTGTGAAATACAGGGCGTGGAGAGCTCAGGGGCTGAACGGAGATAACGTAGAGCTTGATATATGTTATCACTAAGCCAAGGTTACTTTAGTGGCGAGCTTAATGTTACACTGTTGGCACAGAGCTTAGGTTGTAGTCTCAACTGTGCTTGTCTGGAAACTGATCCCAGATGAGGACACAGTTTTGGGATGGTCTGTGCAGTGATATCAATGGAGGATGCACTCAAGAAAACTGATGCAAAGAAACAGGTCCAAGCAGTTTTGTTATGCTAACCTCAGAGGAAAGAAAAACATTCCCATTAGATGGTCTTCCTAAATCAGTTGTTCTCACCCTCTCGTCCTCTCCCTCTCTCCTGCAGGATAAGGATGCTAAGATAGCGTTCCTGCAGAAGGCCCTAGATGTGGTGATGCTGGTGAACGGCGAGCCCCTGTCGGCCAAGCCGGCGCGCATTGTAGCCGGCCATGAGCCTGAGAGGACCAACGAGCTGCTACAGGCCATCGCCAAGTGCTGCCTCAACAAGGTATGTCTGCTTGGAAAGTCCCATATACTTGTGTAACGGAGTTAAGAATGTGCCTGTAAGCTCACTCCACAGCTAGCTTGAAATGTCGCAGATGGAGCTATCCAATTGGTACCTTTTTGTATAGCTAAATCAGTTTGCACATTGTCAAGGAGGGCGGTCACGTGTGTTGCGAAGCAGAGGATCACTGGTTCGAGCACGGTATGGGGACAGGGACAGTTGAGGAAGCTAGACATTGGCATCTGTTTCACATGCACACACCTGTAACTACACGACATACACCCTCACAGACAGACAGACAGACAGGCATGTGCACACACACACTGTCCAGATTGTCATACACATGCAACCAAATTTACAGACACGTTTGTGTGCATTTGTAGCGGAATCTTTGGTCCACAACATCCAGAGTTGCCCCGAAATATATTTTACATAGCCACAGCCGCAAAGAAAAGTTAAAAGGTAGCTCTTGCTGCAAATATTGTGAGCATAAGTTTGTTCATTTCAGTGGTGGTCACCCATCAACACACAAACAGAATGCTCCAGATAAGGTCATTCATGTTTACACACACTGATGCTTTTGGGTGAAATCTGAAGAGGATCAATTACACTCTAGCACATTTTAATTGGACCCTGAAGACAGCCAGTTTGAATAAAGGGCTTCGAGCTCAGGGGAACTCTGCCATGCCTCCCTAAGGGTCTCATCATGACAACTGTTCACATACATATAAGCTAGCTAGCATACACAACATTGATTATAACAAGGACCACAATGGAAATAAATAGTTAGACTTTGTGTTTTTAACCCTCAATAATTGATGTATTGTTGTACTCGAATGGCTAAGGCAACTATGTTAGATATTTCTAATAAAATGAATTCAATTCATTATAGACAGACAGATGGGCAGGTAATTATAGACAAATATTGATGTGTGCTAGCAATGTGCTCTCCTCCTACAATGCATTACTTAGAAAAATATCATCCCAATAAACAAAGTCAAAGAAAATATAGAGATATGGTAGAAAGGACTATCTGCATTGACCCTATCTTGCGCTGACTCTATGCACACTCCAAAGACTATACACACTATATACACAGAGTGTACAAAATATTAGGAACACCTCATTCCATGACAGTCTGACCAGGTGAAAGCTATAATCCCTTATTAATGTCACTTGTTAAATCCACTTCAATCAGTGTAGATGAAGGGGAGGAGACCGGTTAAAGAATGATTTTTAAGCCTTGAGACATGGATTGTGTATGTGTGCCATTCAAAGGGTGAATGAGCAAGATAAAATATTTAAGTGCCTTTTGAATGGGGTATGGTAGTAGGTGCCAGGCGCACTGGTTTGAGTGTGTCAAGAACTGCAATGATGCATTGGAGTCAACATGGGCCAGCATCCCTGTGGAACGCTTTCGACACCTTGTAGAGTCCATGCCGCAACGAATTGAGGCTGTTCTGAGGGCAGAAGTGGGTGCCTTTATGTACATACTGTATCTACCTCAAATACTGCATACCCCTGCACATTGGTCTGGTACTGGTACTCCCTGTATATAGCTGAATTGTTTGTGTATTTTATTCCTCTTGTGTTAAAATAAAATAGTATCATAATCTTTTTACTCTGCATCATTGGGAAAGGCTCGTAAGCAAGCATTTCACGGTATAGTCTACACCTGTTGTATTTGGCGCATGTGATAAATACATTTTTATTTGATTTGAAAGTGAGTTGACAATCACGTCTGTGCCCTGTGCCCTCATGTCGTCCCCAGCTGTCCAGTGAGGAGGCGGTGAAGCGGGTGCTGGCCGGGGACAAGCTGGACCCCAAGGGGAAGGACAGCACCTCCCGGTCCCAGGACAAGGAGAACAGGGAGGGACGAGATCGCCAACGAGACCAAGTGGTGAGACCAGGGGCCCTATCCACAAAGCCTCTCAAAGTGAAATGCTGATCTAGGATCAGGTCCCAACCTGTCCGTATAATCTTATTCATTATGATTACAAAGGCTAAACTGATCCTAGATCAGCACTCCTACTCTCAGATGGTTTATGAATACGGCCCAGACACACAGAATTCAGACTAGACAGCATATATTCCCATCAGACCATGGGCATACCATTGAGCTACACTCCCCTCCGTATTTATTTAGACAGTGAAGCAAAAATGTTACATTAGTTATGTACTCCAGCATTTTGGATTTGAGTATTTCCATAGTTATCGGTGTTACCGTTTAGAAATGAAAGCACTTAATATGTCGAGTCCCCTCATTTGAAGAAGTCATAGGTATTTGGACAAATTCACTTACAGTGGGGAAAAAAGTATTTAGTCAGCCACCAATTGTGCAAGTTCTCCCATTTAAAAAGATGAGAGAGGCCTGTAATTTTCATCATAGGTACACGTCAACTATGACAGACAAAATGAGAAAAAAAAAATCAAGAAAATCACATTGTAGGAATTTTTAATGAATTTATTTGCAAATTATGGTGGAAAATAAGTATTTGGTCAATAACAAAAGTTTCTCAATACTTTGTTATATACCCTTTGTTGGCAATGACCCTTTGTTTTCTATGGGGTTGAGATCTGGAGACTGGCTAGGCCACTCCAGGACCTTGAAATGCTTCTTACGAAGCCACTCCTTCGTTGCCCGGGCGGTGTGTTTGGGATCATTGTCATGCTGAAAGACCCAGCCACGTTTCATCTTCAATGCCCTTGCTGATGGAAGGAGGTTTTCACTCAAAATCTCACGATACATGGCCCCATTCATTCTTTCCTTTACATGGATCAGTCGTCCTGGTCCCTTTGCAGAAAAACAGCCCCAAAGCATGATGTTTCCACCCCCATGCTTCACAGTAGGTATGGTGTTCTTTGGATGCAACTCAGCATTCTTTGTCCTCCAAACACGACGAGTTGAGTTCTTACCAAAAAGTTCTATTTTGGTTTCATCTGACCATATGACATTCTCCCAATCCTCTTCTGGATCATCCAAATGCACTCTAGCAAACTTCAGACGGGCCTGGACATGTACTGGCTTAAGTAGGGGGACACGTCTTGCACTGCAGGATTTGAGTCCCTGGCGGCGTAGTGTGTTACTGATGGTAGGCTTTGTTACTTTGGTCCCAGCTCTCTGCAGGTCATTCACTAGGTCCCCCCGTGTGGTTCTGGGATTTTTGCTCACCGTTCTTGTGATCATTTTGACCCCACGGGGTGAGATCTTGCGTGGAGCCCCAGATCGCGGGAGATTATCAGTGGTCTTGTATGTCTTCCATTTCCTAATAATTGCTCCCACAGTTGATTTCTTCAAACCAAGCTGCTTACATATTGCAGATTCAGTCTTCCCAGCCTGGTGCAGGTCTACAATTTTGTTTCTGGTGTCCTTTGACAGCTCTTTGGTCTTGGCCATAGTGGAGTTTGGAGTGTGACTGTTTGAGGTTGTGGACAGGTGTCTTTTATACTGATAACAAGTTCAAACAGGTGCCATTAATACAGGTAACGAGTGGAGGACAAAGGAGCCTCTTAAAGAAGTTACAGGTCTGTGAGAGTCAGAAATCTTGCTTGTTTGTAGGTGACCAAATACTTATTTTCCACCATAATTAGCAAATAAATTCATTAAAAATCCTGCAATGTGATTTTCTGGGAAAAAAATTCTCAATTTGTCTGTCATAGTTGACGTGTACCTATGATGAAAATTACAGGCCTCTCTCATCTTTTTAAGTGGGAGAACTTGCACAATTGGTGGCTGACTAAATACTTTTTTTCCCCACTGTATAGTGTATTAAAGTAGTCAAAAGTGTAGTATTTGGTCCCATATTCCTAGCATGCAATGACTATATCAAGCTTGTGACTACAAACTTGTTGGATGCATTTGCAGTTTGTTTTGGTTGTGTTTTGAATAATGATGATCATACCCCCAAAATCATGAATAAAGATCATACCCACAAAAAATGCTTACCTCCCATTTTAATTGGTATTGATGAGAGTTTAGCATGTTTTGTTGTAGCTTCTGAATAGCATTTCACTCATCATTATTCATGATTTATTCATGGTTTTTCTTAATCATGGCATTATCAGGATTAATTTAGTGTTCAGAAACCTCTTATCTACTCACTAAGAAAGAAAATCACTCCAGTCATCATTCACCATTCAGTTACTATTGGGCAAAACATAACCCATACCCCAAAACACAACCAAAACTAGGAATATGGGATCAAATACACTTTAAGTGAATTTGTCCAAATAATTTATGACTTCTTCACATGGGGGCACTAGATAAAGTGCTTTCATGAAAATACCCTCAAATAAAAGGTGGCATTCTGTACTGTTGCCTCATATGAAACATTTGATCTCAAATCCAAAATGCTGGAGTATAGAAAGGCCACATGTAACATTTTAGCTTCACTGTCCAAATACATACGTAAGTAAGTGTTCATGAGCTTTGTGAAATCATAGAAATCAGTCACCATCGTTTTCAAAAATGTAAATTAAAAAACCTCTAATTTAAAGATTTGTCATACAGGGCTAATGTTTGCCTGGTACCACAGTGTTTTGAGGGTGTCCCTATGGTCACACAATGCATTTGTGTGTATTCGCCTCCGTGTGTGTATATGCGTTGCTATATACAGTGGCTTGCGAAAGTATTCACCCCCCCTTGGCATTTTTCCTATTTTGTTGCCTTACAACCTGGAATTAAAATGGATTTTTGAGGGGTTTGTATCATTTGATTTACACAACATGCCTACCACTTTGAAAATGCAAAATATATTTTTTCTTGTGAAACAAACAAGAAATAAGTAAAAAAGCTTACATAACTATTCACCCCCCCAAAGTCAATACTTTGTAGAGCCACCTTTTGCAGCAATTACAGCTGCAAGTCTCTTGGGGTATGTCTCTATAAGCTTGGCACATTTAGCCACTGGGATTTTTGACCATTCTTCAAGGAAAAACTGCTCCAGCTCCTTCAAGTTGGATGGGTTCCACTGGTGTACAGCAATCTTTAAGTCATACCACAGATTCTCAATTGGATTGAGGTCTAGGCCATTCCAAGACATTTAAATGTTTCCCCTTAAACCACTTGAGTGTTGCTTTAGCAGTATGCTTAGGGTCATTGTCCTGCTGGAAGGTGAACCTCCGTCCCAGTCTCATATCTCTGGAAGACTGAAACAGGTTTCCCTCAAGAATTTCCCTGTATTTAGCGGCATCCATCATTCCTTCAATTCTGACCAGTTTCCCAGTCCCTGCCGATGGAAAAACATCCCCACAGCATGATGCTGCCACCACCATGCTTCACTGTGGGGATGGTGTTCTCGGGGTGATGAGAGGTGTTGGGTTTGCGCCAGACATAGCGTTTTCCTTGATGGCCAAAAAGCTCAATTTTAGTCTCATCTGACCAAAGTACCTTCTTCCATATATTTGGGGAGTCTCCCACATGCCTTTTGGCGAACACCAAATGTGTTTGCTTATTTTTTTCTTTAAGCAATGGCTTTTTTCTGGCCACACTTCTGTGAAGCCCAGCTCTGTGGAGTGTACGGCTTGAAGTGGTCCTATGGACAGATACTCCAATCTCCGCTGTGGAGCTTTGCAGCTCCTTCAGGGTTATCTTTGGTCTCTCTGTTGCCTCTCTGATTAATGCCCTCCTTGCCTGTTCTGTGAGTTTTGGTGGGTGGCCCTCTCTTGGCAGGTTTGTTGTGGTGCCATATTCTTTCAATTTTTTTATAATGGATTTAATGGTGCTCCATGGGATGTTCATATTTTTTTATAACCCTGATCTGTACTTCACCACAACTTTGTCCCTGACCTGTTTGGAGAGCTCCTTGGTCTTCATGTTGCCGCTTGCTTGGTGGTGTCCTTTGCTTAGTGGTGTTGCAGACTCTGGGGCTTTTCAGAACAGGTGTATGAATACTGAGATCATGTGACACTTAGATTGCACACAGGTGGACTTTATTTAACTAATTATGTGACTTCTGAAGGTAATTGGTTGAAACAGATCTTATTTAGGGGCTTCATAGCAAAGGGGGTGAATACATATGCACGCATCACTTTTCCATTATTTATTATTTAGAATTTTTTGAAACAAGTAATTTTTTTTATTTCACTTCACCAATTTGGACTATTTTGTGTATGTCCATTACATGAAATCCAAATAAAAATCAATTTAAATTACAGGTTGTAATGCAACAAAATAGGAAAAATGCCAAGGGGGGATGAATACTTTTGTAAGGCACTGTATATGTGTGGTCTTACATGTGTTTGTTTCTCCAGGAGAGGAAGGAGATCCAAGAGCACAGCGGTGGCGGGGGTCGGGAGCAGAAGGACCCGGACCTGCCCAAAGAGCATGAGGGCAGGCGGGGCGACAAGGACAAGGAGCGCCACCGCGTGAGAGAGAGGTCGAAGAAGGGCCGCGATCGAGACCGGACCAAAGACCGTGACAAGGACAAGAGCCGGGACCGAGAAATGGACAAAGACAATGAAAGAGAGAAAGACAGAGAACGAGACAAGGAGAGAGAGCGGGACCGAGTACGAGACGAGAGAGAAAGGGACAGGGACGGGGAAAAGAGCAAAGACAAGGAGTCGCACAGAGAGAGAGACAGAGAGAGGGATAAGGAGAAAGATTTTGACCGGGTGAAACGGCCAGACAAAGAGCGAGACAAGGGGGAGAAGGAGAGAGAGCCCAGACACAAACAGGGGGAGGAGAAAGGTAACAAAAAGGTAGAGTATGTCTGTCATTCCATGACTTTGTGCCATATAGTCCTTAATGTAACAGTGGCCGCAACAAGTGCTTCTATGAGATCCTGAGGAGTTTGTGTGTTTAGGCCAGAGCGTCAGAGGAGACAAAACACAGACCACATCCAGAGGAGCCCAGTAAAACGGCCAAACCTGAACCAGCGGTAAGCTTTACCCTCTCTCTCCTATGAGCAGTATATACTATTGGCAGTCATTTTCATGTTCAACCAATGCCTACATTTCTCATTCCATTCCAGTCCTTTCCCACTCCAGTACTTTCTCATTCCTCTCCAGTCCTTTCCCACTCCAGCACTTTCTTATTCCTCTCCAGTCCTTTCTCACTCCAGTACTTTCTCATTCCACTCCAGTCAGTTTCCCACTCCAGATTTTTCATTCTATTAATGGATGATATTAAGGCTAAAGACTTGCAGTATGTAGAATAGTGTTTATCAGGGATTGACGTTAAGGGTTCACCTATTGCCTGGGGCAAGTGAACTGAGCATTCCCGCAAGTTGAGCATGCTCTTGAGGTTGCCCCATTGGGCAGGTGATAAAAAATTAATAAAAGTGAAAACAACCAAACTGCAAAGAATTCTTGTAGCCTAAAACTGATATTTCTGGTTCCTCCCCATTGTTTAAGTAAAATACACAATTTATGGCATTAATGGCAGTCGGCAAGTTAAGCCTGCTCTGAGAACTTTTTTTACTGATGACAACCAAAATAAAAGGAATTCCTGTACTGATCTTTCTGATACCTCCCCTATGTGTAGGTGAAAGGCAGGAAATAGATGGCACTTCTGTGTGTAAATGGATAATTTACATTTTCAGTCAAATGAACATAATCTTCGGGCCCCTTTAAAAAAAAATATATATATATAATGGGAAATACAAATCGGTTAAAATTGTGACATATTTGGGACCAACTCCATATTAATGCCCATGATTTTGGAATGAGATGTTCGACGAGCAGGTGTCCACATACTTTTGGTCATGTAGTGTAAGTCTATTTCAAGAAACCTTAGTCCCAAAGTCCATGTTATTTCAAAATAGTTCTGATTGATTTTGAGATTAAAGAACGTCCCAGCATTTGGGCACCATTGGGCGGGGGAGGGTTCTCTTGCAATGAGAAAGTACGGAAGAGATTGCTGGAGCACATGTTCTGGACAGATTGTGAGCTTTATCAAAAATATTTATCAAAATATTGCACTTTTCTGCCATTGCCATAAAAGGGGTCAATTCCTTAGGCCTTTGGTGTGACGCCTTTTGAATGTATAATTGAAAATAAGAATGATAAGGATAAATATCAATGAAAAAATGTGTGGTGAAATCAAATGGAAAGCTTACTGTTAACAATAAAGTCAATACAGCCTGAGATTTCCACTGGCGTGACAACTTTTTTCCCTTGGTGTGACATGAAGATGGTGACACACCAGAGGAAATTGCTGTCACTCCGGGGGACATAACCCATTAATAAACTACTATAATTACCTTTTTAGATGTATTTCTCATCAAATAACACCCATTTGTGTTAGACCTATCCTGTTTAAATGTTGATCATTTTAAGTGGTTCTGAGTGCAATATTTACATTTTCATTCTCCCACGTCTGGTTTCTCACACCCTGCAGGTGACATTTACATTTAAGTCATTTAGCAGACGCTCTTATCCAGACCGACTTACAAATTGGTGCATTAAACTTAGGATAGCCAGTGGGACAACCACTCCTTTTTTTTTTTTATGGGGGGTGGGGGGGTAGAAGGATTACTGTTATACTATTCCAGGTATTCCTTGCTCAGGCGACCTCTGGGTCTCTCTGCCGCCTAGGGAGGGTCTGGTTATTTTACTTGGCCCTAGTGATGGTGCAGGCAGATATTGGGGACTGGCTGTGGTGCCTCCAATTCCTTGTTTTTCACTCCCTGCATTAGACCATCCATCCCCCTTGATCCCTCTCTGTCTAACCAGTTTCACTCCCCCTGACTGATTGGCATACCTGGTCCCCCTGGGAGGGCCCCCATTGGCAGGGCCTCTTGAAGACTATTCACCCTGCCTCCAATACGCCCCGGTCGGCCTCACTCTGAGTGAGACCCAGTTGACCCTTCTTTTATTTTACATTTGAGTCATTTATCAGACCGTCTTATCCAGAGTGACTTACAGGAGCAATTAGGGTTAAGTGCCTTGCTCAAGGGCACATCGACACAGCTTGTTCACCTAGTCGGCTCAGGGATTCGAACTAGCTACCTTTCGGTTACTGGCCCAACGCTCTTAACCGCCAGCCTACCTTGCCACTTTTGAGGCCCTTCAATTGGAATGAGTACACTTAAGTCCTTTAGTGAGTGTCCATTACTGATGTTTAGAAGTTGAATTTTAATTAGTTTGTTTTAACCGTCAAATGTGACTGCCTGTTGTGTATTGTCCATCGGTGTGACATACTGTACTATGGAGTGATGCCAAAAAAGGGGAAAAAAAAGGTGTTTTGAACAAAATGTAAATATTAAGCAGGAGGCAGATAACATCATAGGAAACTAATAGCTTTTTATCTAGGTTTTTGTCAAATTACTGTGAGTCTTACTCAAATGTAATGGGGAGACAATTGGTTGTCTTTACACAGGAAAGTTTTTCAATTGAAATTCCAGAATATGTTTACGGATTAAAAAAAAGAAAAAGTAACTAATAATGAGTACAAATATTTTTCTTGTCTATTTGAGAATCATTACACCTTTTTATATTAGCATTAAATATGTCACACCAGAGGACAAATTCAATGCATGAAATGGTTAATTAAATTGGATTTAAAAATTCAATCAAAGGTGGCCACAACATTTTGAATTGTTTAGACATATTTTATTGCAACTCTATGTTTTTACTTTAATCTTTAGAATAAATAATGTTATTTTGTTTTGGCCTTAGCAACTACCCTAATGTAAATTCCTTGTTTATGCTCCCATTTATGATCTTGCCCCATCACTGTGTGTGTGTCATGGCCTTAATGCATGTGTACTCTCACCTTCAACCCCAAGGCTGAAAATGATAAACAGGAGGAGGTAGCTACATGCCTAATAGTACTGCAGTTGCTCTGAATGTGTTAGTATAGATGCTAATTCGCTCGCTTGCTTCATTTCACTTCAAGGGCTTTTAATCCTGGCTTGTTGCTAGGATAGAACACATTAGGTTTTTTCTGCAACTTTGACCAAGACAGCTGTCATCTGCAGCACTCTGCATTCATTGAGAGATTAGTTATATTTAGCACACTCTTGGTTTGTGAGGGTTTCCAGTCTATTGCTTTATCTTCTGTTTTCAACTCCAGTATTGTGCCAGTATTTCAGTAGAATTTCATCATTATTTGTCTAGGCTAGCCTATATTTGACCAAATAAAGAACTTATACTTGGGAAGACTAACCATGGCACATATTTGAGCTGGTCATAAGCCTGCTGTTGTTTTTAGCATAGAATAACTTCAGGAGCTTAGCAATAATGACGGAGCTACCCTGCTCAACTCTTAAGGGTGCATCACACATATTTGTATCTTTCTTTCCAGTACCACCAGAGATGGAAAATAAATCGATACATTTTCTGAGAAAGATATAGACTACTGCTACATCCATGAACTGATGTTGAATATGCTTTAGTTGTGTGGCACACATTTGACTTAGCTAAGGTAGAACACTTGTAGTACCACATAGTCATAGATTAGGACTAAAGTGTCATCCATAGAAATAGAAAAACGGGCCAATAACATTTTAGAGACGGGGCTAATATAATCTATTTCTATGCTGCTATTAGTGTGATAATGTTTGATTCTGTGCTACCACTGGAATTATCCACAAAAGCCTATTGATGATACATCTGAAGAGGTATCCCTTCTTTGCCTATCTAGCCTAATGCCCCATAGTCTATCGCTAGAGCTATTTAGCAGATTCAGAACTGCGTTTAACTCGGTAGTACAGTATGGCTGCCTGATAGGTTTACCTACTTTAACATAGCGCTGTGAGCATTTTCAGTAGTTTGTTTGGCTGTCTTAGCATAGCTTGTCAATCCATGCTGTAAAAAATTAAATAAATAATCATAGCAGCTTGGTTTCCTACTGCTTTACCTGCATTGTAGCTCCCTTTGGTGGAAGGTTCGGACATAGGTCTGGATTCAGTTGGGCTAAGCAGATATTTACCCAACGCTGTCTTTCTCTGTTTATAGACAGCAGAAGTCACATACAAGCAGGTAACCTCTTATTTGTAAAGAGGGGCTGCCTGTGTCCTCCTTTTCCTACGAATGACCCTGCATGTGTGCATGTTTATAAGTGTGTACACATGCTCTCCATCCTGAATTGGACACACTTACCCAGTCATTTTCCCCTCCCATCTCCTTTCCCTCTCTCCTCTCCTCAGTCTGACAGTCCAGCCAGAATACCTCGGCCTTCATCTGCCAAGGGGCAGAGGCGCAGGCCCAAAGCAGGAGGCCAACAAGGTAACCCCCCTCCAACCCCTCCGCTTCTCTGGCCTTTCGCTAAAGTCATACTTCTGTTTACACCATAATATGAATAGATAAATAAAATAGATACAAATAATTGTTCTGTTGCCTCTTTTCCAGAAGAGTCTGACAGTGAAGGTGAGTATTTTTCTCACCGCACCATTACCGACTCTCAGTAGATGGTGCTGGTGTTTTTTCCATTTAGTGGTCCAGGGTGGACATTTCTATGCTTCTCTGTTCTAAAAGCCCTAGCCATCAGTAGTTCTAGTTCTTGCTATCAAGTTCATCGGATGTTCCAATTAAAGGTGTTAGAAGGTGTGTTCTCATGTCGGCATCTTGTTGTAGATGGAGACACTCCGTTGGCAGAGAGGCCGGTCCCCCTGGAGAACGGAGATGCCACAGATGCAGTGCCAGCCCACATGGCGCACAGGTCTGTGTGTTGACAGCTGATTAAGCAAATTAGCAGGGTTTGAGGGCACTGCTCGATTTGCACAGTCAGCAACAATAGAAACAGTCTCTCCCATAACCTCTCAACTTTTGGCCAATTTCCTCTGTGTGACCGAATAAGTTGTGTAACATGCCTAGCGATGTGTGTTTGCATGCTACAGAACTCCATTCACTGATGCAAATCCTCCACTTTTTCCTTGGTCAACTGCAACACTCTCTCTTTACACCACAACGAATTGCTCTGCAAGTCCCCACTCTTAATTATAGTTTTCTCAGTGTAACATAAAACGCATGACTGTCCCATTGTGAAGTAACTGACTGACTGAATGAGTGTTGTCATAGAGCAGCAGGGTTTCTCAACTCTAGTCCTGGGGACCTCTGTATGTTCAGGTTCTCACTACAACCAAATACTGCCTTTTAGACTCAGTAAACTGGTCAGTATTTTATTATTCCAACTAAATACAGTAACTTTTTACCCTGTCCTGTTCCTGTCTACATGTCTTTGAATATTTGTGATTATTTGAAGATGTGTGATTCTGTGTCTTGGTTAAATGGTTGTCTTTAAACAACCAAACAGTTGACTAATTACTGGTGTAATTGATGCTCAATTGGTGAAGAATTCAGCGTACATAGCAGGTCCCCAGGATCAGTTTAGGGAAGCACTACTATTTATTTGTAATCGAGGATATTAGTGAGTTGCCGTACTGGCTGGCTGATCATTCATTATTGTGGCCCATCTTATCTCCCCAACAGGAGGATACCTCGGCCCAGCAGCGCCCGGCCCGCCCCTCCTCGGGTCAAGAGGCAGGAGAGCTACACTGACGTGACCCCAGCTGAAAGGTGACTTCCCCTCATACATTTTACTTCCTGTGCCACTATGAATTATACAGTAGTCAGCATAGCAGCGCTGCATTTAGCAGGGCACAGCATTTTGGAACTTTTCGAAATATTTGACGTAGAACAAACATGCCTCTCTGACATGTAGATTTAGGAGTCACATAAGCTCTATTTTTGACATTTTCTATCTGCAGCATTCCACAATGTTTACCTACTGAACTAGGCTGAGAAAATGTTTTGTACTTTGCACCATGGCCTCCTTCCTCTAAACCCCTGTGTGTGTGTGTGTAAGGCTGACCAGTGCCAAGCCCCTTGCGGCCGTCATCACGGAGGGGAAGAAGCTTTCTGAGGATGAAGATGAGCAGTTTGTGGTGGTGGAGGCCACCCCTCCTCCCCCCGACATGCCCGAGATGGTGAGGGAGCACATACATACATGCATTCGGAAAGTATTTGGACCCCTTCACTTTTTCCACATTTTGTTACGTTACAGCCTTATTGTAAAACTGATTAAATTGTTTTTTCCCTCATCAATCTACGCACAATACCCCATAATGACAAAGCAAAAACAGGTTTTTAGAAATGTTTGCAAATGTATACTTTAAAAGAAACGGGAATATCACATTTACAAACGTATTCAGACCCTTTACTCAGTACTTTGTTGAAGCACCTTTTGGCAGCTGTTACAGCCTCGTGTCTTCTTGGGTATGACGCTACAAGCTTGGCACACCTATATTTGGGGAGTTTCTCCTATTCTTCTCTGCAGATCCTCTCAAGCTCTGTCACGTTGGATGGGGAGTGTTGCTGCACAGCACTATTCCGGTCTCTCCAGAGATGTTTGATCGGGTTCAAGTCCGGCCTCTGGCTGGGCCACTCAAGGACATTCAGAGACTTCTCCCGAAGCCACTCCTGTGTTGTCTTGGCTGTGTGCTTAGGGAAGGTGACCCTTCGCCCCAGTCTGAGGTCCTGAGCGCTCTGGAGCAGGTTTTCATCAAGGATCTCTCTGTACTTTGCTCCGTTCATCTTTCCCTCGATCCTGATTAGTCTCCCAGTCCCTGCCGCTGAAAAACATCCCCACAGCATGATGCTGCCACCACCATGCTTCACTGTAGGGATGGTGCCAGGTTTCCTCCAGATGTGATGCTTGACATTCAGGCCAAATAGTTCCATCTTGGTTTAATCAGACCAGAGAATCTTGTTTCTCATGGCAAACTCCAAGCGGGCTGTCATGTGCCTTTTACCGAGGCCCTTCTCCCCCGATTGCTCAGTTTGACCGGGCGGCCAGGTCTAGGAGGAGTCTTGGTGGTTCCATACTTATTTCATTTAAGAATGATGGAGGCCACTGTCTTCTTGGGGACCTTCAATGCTGCAGAACTTTTTTTGTACCCTTCCCCAGATCTATGCCTCGACACAATCCTGTGTCGGAGCTCTACGGACAATTCCTTTAACGTAATGGCGTGGTTTTTGCTCTGACATGCACTGTCTATTGTGGGACCTTTATATAGACAGGTGTGTGCCTTTCAAAATCATGTCCAATCAATTGAATTTACCACAGGTGGACGATAATCAAGTTGTAGAAACATCTCAAGGATGATCAATGGAAACATGATGCACCTGAGCTCAATTTTGAGTCTCCTAGCAAAGAGTCTTTATACTTATGTAAATACGTATTTTTCTTTTTTTATATATATAAATTTGCACACAAAAAAAACTGGTTTCACTTTGTCATTATGGGGTATTGTGTGTAGATTAAGGAACATTTTTTATTTTAATCTATTTTAGAATAAGGCTGTAACGTAACAAAATGTGGAAAAAGTTAAGGGGTCTGAATACTTTCCGAATGCACTATATCTGTTCAAGAGAAGAAGGAAGCAGCATTGGTCATTCTGAATCTTTCTTATGGTTTCTTCACTATTTGGTCCTTCCAAAGGAGCCAACAGTGGAACTCCAAGGCGATGAGAAACATGGTGAGGAATCCTACAAGCCAAACAATCACTTAATTTGACATTGTAGGTGCTTATCATTTTAGTAGATATTGCTAGATCTTTGCCAGGGTTTGTATCTTAAAGGAGCAGTCTGCAGTTGTTCTATCCCTTTTCAGACTTTTATATTAATGATATACCCATTGATTCTTGAAGAATATACCTTATAAATACCTCATGAGCTTAGTTCAACTGTCTTACCCCATCAAAACCCAAAATATACGCTTGTTTTACTCCAATGTGTGTAAACTGCAAGTTTGATCTCATGAATGTTCAGTCCTTGCATCCATACCTCTGTCAATGAATTTGAGTGGTTACATTTCTCCAGCCCCATTCCTCAGCTATTTACCAAAACAGTGGTGGGTTACCCGCTTTGTAATTATTTGAACCTCAGGTTGCCACTTTTAAGGATGGTTAAAAATTGCCAACATTTTGAAAAACGAATGAACCTTTTTTCATCCACAGGTGGGCTGGTGAAAAAAATCCTTGAAACCAAGAAAGACTTTGAAACGTCACCATCATCTCCAAAGTCCAAAGAACAGGTAAAATGTCAGTGGTGTCCTACAGATGTAGTGATCTTGATCTCCACTAGAGGGCAATGCAATGACAGCAAAACGACTGTGTTCCAAGTCATTGGCTCTCATTCCTCTCCCATGACTCAATTCTAGACATTTTACTACCTCTCAATGAGCGTACAAACTGTTATTTCTTGAAATTCAGTATCTTAGGATGTGGGGTTGCAAAACCCATAGCATACAGTCTATTAGCTAAATAAAGAATCTTACAAATGGAGTGAAGAAGTGTAATTGCAAAAAACATTGAACATTTTTATCTCCTCAGTTGAGCTAGAGAAACAACAACATAAAGTGGGTTGATTACATCAGCGAGAATAAAGATTAAATCAGCGAAATGTCTCAACCCTTTGTTGTAATTGAATGTGGTTTTCTCATTTAATGTTTTGTAAGTGTTTTTGGCTGAGAAAGCATTGCGAAAATGCATCCAAATTAGGCTTATCTAGCTCCGTCTCAACAACCAGTTTGAGAGAAAGTATGTTTTATTTTCATTTCCCCCTCATCTGTCTAGTTCACATGCCTAATGTATGAATTTGATAATTATAATGGAAAATTGATTTGAATCAGCAACACTGATTTCATGCCAGCTGCATCATTTTTAAGAGACAAAAGCAATAATGTGGATTTGACTAAATCTACTAAACTTAACTACATTTCCTTTCTGGTGTGATTAAAAGTCTTCCTGCATCCCACTTTTCTACCTTGGCCTCCTGCGTTACCTCTCCCTGTGATTGAAACATAAACTCCACATTTCATAGTTGATAGATTTTACATTACTCTGAACATGACTTCCAGTCTGACGTAACACCATTATTGCCGCCCCTCTGTTCCCCCAAGCGTGTTTATTGGCCAGAGAGGGCTCCCACAGTCAATATTTGGATAGTGAATCGGAATGAAGGCCTCTTGGCCATGCTCCATCGGTGTGGGTTGTACGACGATGCCTGTTTTGGGTGGTCCTTTCAGCCCAAGTGTGCTGCTCCCTCCACACTCTGCCCAGCTGAACCACCCGACTCTGATGGATACTGTGGTTTTGCCTGTTGCTCATGCAAAAAGGCTCTGTCTACCCACCCACTTCCTGAACCCATCCCTCATCCATCCCTGTTCTCCAACGATGTCGTCTGTCCCAGGCCAGCTGCTAATGAGCGGGGAGCGGGAAAAACGAGCGCTCTTATCTACATGACGTGTGCCAGGCTCCGTCCAGTGTTACGGCTCCAACATGCATTTAGCTCATAGCGACGCAAATGGAGCCCCCAATTTCCAGCTTGCTTTCGGATGGACGGCTCCCCCGCCCACCACCCGCCCCAACACGTCAGATTTCACTGCGCCCCCCTTTCCTTGCAGTCTTCATTACAAAATAATCCGACTGGATTTCCCTTTGGTTTCCAAATAATCAAATGAGCTCCCCCCCCCCCCCCCCTGAATCAGATGTGCCGGGGCTTTCCAGTGCAACCTGAGCACAGTCCACAGGGTTATCCTAATTGACTTAATGCATCCTAGTCAGTTTTTGGGATTCCAGGCCCCTTATTAAAGGGCATCTAATGAGAGGGGGGGCTGTGGGTTGCTGGGGCACTCTGCAGTCCGAATGGAAGGTAGGTGTACTCGTACGAGCCACGCTATGCGCAACCCCCACCTCGACGTTACTGGCCTTGCCTCGCTCGCTGTATAAAAGACTATAATGGCTTCCTTCCTGACATGAAAGGGTTGACGGTCAGTGTAATAGAGACGTTGCTCTCTTGTAATCACAGCGGAACATGGAGGGTTAACAAATGTAAATATTGAGCTTCCCCCATCCCCCGGTTTGACAGGTCTGAAATTACAGCGGGCTGTGATTCATTCTTAAATGCTGACATTTATCAAACATTTTGCCATATCCCGCAACACAAAATGCACCGTAGAAGAATTTGCTGTATATTTATGAGGATGACCTTGCCGAACACTTGTATATTATTCTAAGTTACATCTCGGCACACATGGATGGCAGATTGAGAATCACGGAGGAGAAGTGCCAGAAAACTCTCGGTAGAATCAGCAGGACAATAAATAGTCCAATCCCCACCAGGCCCGTGTCTTCCTAAACATTCACCTTTTTTTTGTGGAAACGTAATGAAATGACCCTGCAGTATTCCATTAGCCATATTGTCTTTGCACGATTCCAGTGGAATGAGAAAAGGTTTCTGAAAAATACCTTTCTGAGCCTCGAAGATTGGACTCCAATGCAGACCATGGCGTTGTAGGTCCTATTTTTCTCAAGTCGCTTTGATCACGTCAATCGATTCCAACCCCAAAACCTTACAAGCTAGAGGTCTTAGCAGCTTCAAGCTTTGTGATGTAGCCTACTTGGTCACACAATTTAATCAAGCCCTTTTCCCTGTCCCCAGTCTTTTTCAGGGGGAGTTGAGGTTCCCACTTGTACCCCTGGGTTCAGGGCAGGGGGCTCAGCTGTGACCCCTCGGGGCTACACACTGACCCGAACATCCTGTAACTCCTCTCGCCCTTAGCCTAACTCTTCACCTCACTCCTAGCTATTGTTTTTATGTCATTTTTTATGACATTTGGACTATGTCTTTCTCCTGGAAAAAAAATAGCAAACCTCTGAACAACACTGGACTAATCATCATGCTGTAATACCTAGCAGCTCCTTGGCTCACCTCGGAGTACCTCTCTGGGGATGCAATTCAGGGCCCTTGGGTAGCCTGCATTGTCTCCAATTTAGAGCCAGGAGGTGGATGGGTCTCAAAAGTCTAAAGTGAAGTCATCAACTCCTCGTCTCCTTTCCTTTGCCTGCGCTGATCTGAACACAACTATTTTTAAAGCAATATCGCAAAAGCCCAAGAGAGCCAGGAGAATTGTTAATTTTTTTAATAAACGTGGGGATGAAGGAAATGAGACGAGGAAATCCAGTTGAGACTACTGGGACCATAGATCGACACTGGAAATTGAAATTGTCATATACCCTAAGTATGTCATGCTATTCACCACAGAAACGTTGTTGCTGTGTGCGGTTTATACGTTTGTTGCCTGACGTTTCAGTAGACCCATAATTGAGGTTGATAAAGTGGCTTTATTACATCAGTCTGGAAGCCAATACTCAGCTCTGAAATGGTCCAGTGGTGGGTAAATTAATGTTTCTTTAATTAATGACGCCCAAGAGGTTGGTAGGGTCTCTAACAGGTTTCACGCAGGCAACCCATTCTTCTTTTCAAAGCCTTACTTTGAAGACTGTTATTCTCCCACCCCCTCTTACCAGCTCCTTATAACAACTCCATAAATCATGTGCTTTGCATGCATTCCCTCATTAAGCAAGTTAGGCATCAGAGGGTTCGGCTGAATTCCACGTTGCAGCGCAGCAGCCTGCCCTGCAGCCAGGCCAGGAGGTCTGTGAGGAGTTTAGATCCAGCTCTTAGTCCCCGGCATGAGATTAGAGGCCCATCAAACCCAGTTTCCACAAGACATAATAAAACATTCTGGTACTTGTATGTTTGGAGTATACTCAGCAACACATTGTTTACAATGCGAAACCAGAGGGAACTGAGTAGATATTTTTCCTTGCATATTCTTCTGCAAGGAAAAGCATGATTGCAAATTATGACGTATCCCTGACAACCTCTTATCTGTATGGATTGACTAGGGGCTCCTAGTAAAAACCATGAAAGGTCGATAGAAAAGGAATTGATGCGCAACACTCAGGTCTCTGGGTACCACCTGCTCCCAAGAAGGATATGCGGCTTGGGTCTCCACCAGTGGCGGTCGATGCCATTTAAGATTAGACTATTTCTTTTTTTTATGAGCATTGCCTTATTTCTATTACAGCATATTGGATGACTGTCATTCATATTTCATTCACCCAGCTCAATGTAACATCGATATGTTTAGGCTACTACATTATACTCGAATTTGCCCTATACCCATCTTGAGGTTGCTACAACCTAGCCTACAAATAAAAATGTATAACGTAGGTGCACAGGTCAAGAGACAAATTGGAGTAATCGAGGTGACAGACAGTGACACACACCGCCTTGCACACTCTTGCCTGCATCTGGATGATCTAGGGTGTAATCATTAGTCCAAACAGTTGGAAAACGCTAAGTCTTGCAACTAAAACTAGGTTTTATTGGACAAATTCAGGTAGGTCCATCCCCATTTTGTGCTGTTTGCCCTCGTTTAAGAAAGGTTTTGCAACAGAATTGGCGGAATGAATACACCCCTTATCACCCGCACACACAGTTCACTTTCATAGCAGCCATACAAACAGCATCACATCTACACACTCTCCTCCTCTCACATTTTCCCTTCGCTTGTGGACTTCAGTGCACAACACAACAGCTGTCTGTGACCAGGTGAAAGAATCTCTCCAAGCCAAACCTTCATACCTTAACCGCTACACACAGCCTACATCGTTGTTACGATATTAGCTAACGTCATAGTCAACATAGCTACTAGAACTAACGCGCTAGTAAACCCACAATCCAAACCATGTGTACAATCACACAGTAGTGTACAGCAAGCATTTTAGCAGACACCGGCGGGCCCCAGCGACAATACATTTATAAAATCGAAAGCTTATCTTGAATTGGAAGTGTTGGATAGCCTTAGCCAGCTAGCTAACATACATGTCATTCCTCTCTGTTTGAGTCAGGTTGTTGAGTAGGCAAAATTAGCTAGCTTAAGTGAAACTGAAACTGAAAAAGACATACAACGAAATATCGCTCTCCTGCTTCTCCTTAATTTTTAAAGAAATTAATTTGTTCAAAACTGTTAAACTATTGTCTTTCTCTCTACTCTTCACATTATGCACTGCAGTGCTAGCTAGCTGTAGCTTATGCTTTCAGTACTTTATTAATTATCTGATCAGAGGGACAACATTGGAAGGTTGGAAGACGTCCTTCGGAAGTCGTCATAAGTACTTTGTAAGTCTATGGAAGGGGTGAGAACCTAGGAGGCTCATTGTTTCGTATTGAAGTCAATGTACCCAGAGGAGGCCGGAAAATATCTGTCCTCCAGCTACCCCATTGTGCTACCCTACAGAGTGCTGTTGAGGCTACTGTACACATTCATTGCAAAACAGTGTTTTAATCAGTTATTTGGTGACATTAATATATTTAGAATAGTTTTATCTATAAAGGACAACTAAAAAATTTTTTCCACTATTTTTATTTTTATGAAATTCACTGAGTAGGATGGTCCTCCTGTGAGGAGCCTCCACGGCCAACGGAGCTTCCGTTACTGACTTTATGAGCTAATGGGAAAACCTGCCTCCTCACCCTTCCTCCAGCCACCGGACTCAAAACAAATCGTGTTCTTGGGTCAGGGTGAAAAATAGCAAAAATAGGAGCGCGTTGGGCTTGTAGAGCCCGACTAGAGGCCCTATAAAGGGCTGATTTATGCTCGCCGGACAGAGTGCACCATGCAGACCAGGGACGGGTTTTCTTTTTAATATTTTCCTGGTTTTCTGAGGGGTTGAGGCTTTGCAAGTGGACAGCAAACAGAGCAGAGCCCGTGGGGGCTTCCGCAGTGCTCCACCATGGCCGGCGGGCTGACTGAGCCGCGGCGTGATCGTGTAGCCGCAGTGTTCACTGGGCCGAGGGGAACGCCACCCACATTGCAGACGACGATTAGACATTTCAATCCTCACACACTTTGCAAACCGCAGAGGGAAGGGAGGGGGAAAAAATGAGGCAGCTTGTCAGAAATTTTTGCTGGCTTCCTGAAGGAAAGGTAGATAGAGTTGACATTTGAAGTGTTATTATTATTATTCTTTTTATTTTATTTTTTATTTTTTTTACAGTTTTTAGTTCTATGTAGTTTAGTGTGTTTCTAAGCTGAAATTATTGAGTTGGCTTCTTTTTATAAGCTGAATGATAAGAAGCTAGCCTGTAATGAAAGACAGTTGGTCTGTTTTGAAGGGGAAGTTGTTGGATAGTTTACACTGTCATGTAGCGGGAGTGTGATATCTCCGGCCCCGTAAAAGCAGGTGTTTCGATCTGGAGGCCAGAATGACACATTGGTTCAAGAGTTTAACTTGAAAAGGGCCATAAGTGTAGTAGTTGTTACCGAATACTGTAGTAAAATAACTTCACTGCCACAGCCTGTTACTAAAATAAACAACGGGTTTAAGTCCACAGGAGTGTGGGTGGGTGCCATCTAGTGTGTGTGTGTGTGCCTGCAGTGCCACACACACACCAGCCTGCAGACCCAGCTGAGTAAACATCCCTGGCCCTCACTGTGCCAAGGGGAAGCCCTCCACTCCCCTCCCCTCCCTCCCATCCTGGGGCTGAGGGGTGACTGTGGCATAGCAGAGCAGGACTCCCCAGCCACATACCATACAGAGGAGGCCTTCACCAGCCAGTCCCCCCACATTAGCCAGCATAATTCAGCCACGCGTTTGATATTTATATACACAGCCTAGGTTTGTATAATTCCTGCCTAACATTTTTAGCCTTGAAATCCTAAACCACTAAATGCAGCCCTGTGACTGGCTCTGTACATTTGATACTTTTTATGTGATTCGGTTGAAGTAGCCTCTGGTAGAGTTGAGGAGTGTGTGCATGCACATTTGCAAGTGTGTGGCAGTGGTAAAGAATTTGAGCATTATTACAGACATCCAAAAAGTATGAAGAGTTGCTTTCCAGCACATCATTTCATCACTTCGTGGGACAATAAAACTAGAAGAGCCGAGTGAGTCATTTTGACTCTATGAATTTTTAATTCAAATATCTCTGCCATTTTTAAAGTCATGCCCCCCTCCGTCCTTGACTTAAATAACTATATTTTGATATCACAAACAGAATGTGTCTAAGCAGTTTTAAGATGATTTGTTTTGTCCTACAGAGTGACAAGATGTTTTGATTTCTATATAATATCAGATATAGCAGATTTCGGAGGTTTCTATTGGCAAATACCAAAAAACTAATATTTGCTGTCTGCTGTTACCCAAGACCTTCATAAACACAACCAAAGGATTAAAAAAATTATATAGCATATATGACATTTATTTATTAGACTGTTAGGATGTTTCAGGCAAAATGACTGCTCATTTGCTCAAAGAGGTGTCCCTTGAGTCCCTGCTTTATTTTAGTGATAAAGGCTTGCTTAACTTGGCCTCAGAAACGCTGAGAAACATCAAGCAGTAGAAGGGAATTGGTTTTCTCCCATTCCACGGCCACCCTATAGACTTAAAAATTCAAGATCATCAATCTCTTTTTGGTTCTCTCCTCCACCTCTCCATCCATCTTTTTTCTCCTCTCATGGATGTGATTTTTCTGGAATTAATCAAGATTTCCTGCATTTCGAAATGTATCCTCCATTCACATATAATTGAAACTGATTGAGCCAAAATCCAGTTTTTTTATGTTGTAGTAACAATCTTTCTTGGCTTCTCTCCTCCATCCATCTATCCACCCCTTCTCTCTATCCCTCCATCCATCCCTCCCTCCTTCTCTCCAGACCCAGAGCCTGGTGTCGGAGGCATCCAGGAAGAAGGAGCGGGACCTGGTGTCCAGGGAGATTGAGCGGCTGCGCTCGTCCATCCAGACGGTGTGCCGCAGCGCCCTGCCCCTGGGCAAGATCATGGACTACATCCAGGAGGACATGGACGCCATGCAGAACGAGCTGCACAACTGGAGGAGGGAGAACAAGGAGCATGCACAGGCCCTGCTGCAGGAACAGAGGTTAGAGGGCTACACACACATCATACATGAACACACACACATCATACATAAACACACACACATCATACATGAACACACACACACTAAAGCAGGGTTCTCCAACCCTGTTCCTGGAGAGCTACCGTCCTGTAGGTTTTTGCTCAAATCCTGCGCACCTGACTAATAATTAGTTGGTTGATAAGCTGAATCAGGTTAGTTACAACTGGGGTTGGCGCGAAAACCTACAGGAGAGTAGCTCTCCAGGAACAGGGTTAGAGAGCCCTGCACTAAAGCCTGGAGGAAGGAAAACAAGGAGCACACACAGGCCTTGCTGCAGCAACAGATCTGAAAGACCACCAACACACATTCTCACACACACACGACATGGCGTACGTTATATATTGGCGTGCATATCTTTTCCAGAGTGACGGACAGCGCGGTGGAGCCTCTGAAGGCCGAGCTAGCCGAGCTTGAGCAGCTGATCAAGGAGCAGCAGGACAAGATCTGCGCCGTCAAGTCCAACGTCCTGAAGAATGAGGACAAGATCCAGAAGATGGTGACCAGCATCAACTTCTCCTCGCGAATATGAGGGGGAGCCAAGGTCCAAATCAAGAATTACCCCCTTTAAAAAAAGCACAGAGCGTTCAGGGTTAGCCTGGTTCTTACTTAATCTGGTAACATCCGAAATGATCAAGGCCTCAACTGCACTTTTACACACCCACACTAACTGACTGGTTAGGAGAGAGAGTGTTCGAATTCAACCCCCTAGGGAGGGAGAGAGCGAGAGACGCATGTTATTTTGCTAGTGTTCCATCCACTTTAAGGTGATTGACACACCTTTACTACACTGAACAAAAATATAAACGCAACATGTAAAGTGTTGGTCCCATGTTTCATGAGCTAATAAAAATAACATTTTCCATACGCACGGAAAGCTTATTTCTCTCAAATGTTGTGCACACATTTTAGATCCCTGTTAGTGAGCATTTCTCCTTTGCCAAGATAATCCATCCACCTGACAGGTGTGGCATATCAAGAAGCAGCATGATCATTACACAGGTGCACCTTGTGCTGGGGACAAAAGGCCACTCTAAAATGTTTCGTTTTGTCACATAACACAATGCCACAGATGTCTCAAGTTTTGAGCGAGTGTGCAATTGGCATGCTGACTGCAGGAATATCCTCCAGAGCTGTTGCCAGAAAATGTAATGTACATTTCTCTACCATTTCTTTCAATTGACTGATTTCCTTATATGAACTAACTTAGTAAAATCTGTGAAATTGTTGCATGTTGCGTTTATATTTTTGTTCAGTATAGTTTCTTGTTTTTCAACATTACCTACTGCATGCGTTGTGGGAATAAGGCTTGACCTTGCTTGAAGCTGTGAAAGAGCTCCAAAGAGCACATGGACCAAGTCAATACCCTCCACATCTACGTGATATATAGTTGATACACACATCTGTAATATTTAAACATGTCTGTCAATTAACAATTATGTTTACCTGAAGCTTCTTCAAAGCCTGTACAAAGCAATAGATCTGAGGTTTGCTGAGGGGCTAGTGACACCACGAGCAGAAGACATGGCAGTCCTTTGACTCTTCCTCCTGTCAACCACTATGCTAGTCCCAGATCTGTTTGTGCTGTCTGGCCAACGTCAGCAAGACCTCAAAAACAGACCTGGGATCAGGCTAGTCAAGCACCAATGCACTTTGAGAAATTGGGTTGGTATAGAACCGTGTCCACTCATTGAAAGAGTAATGTTGGAGTCAAAAGTAACATGACACTCTCATAGATTTAAAAATAAAAAACTTTTTAAAAAAACAACTAAATCTAGCAAAACTAAATTAGTTGTCACTCATGTTTTTACGATGACAATTTGAAATACAGTAGACACTGCCCAAATTGCATGTGGAAACATATTGTGCACTTTGATTTGGGAGTTCAAAACATGATCGCTCTTTCATCTGAATTGGTTTTCAGAAAAACGTTTAACACATCTATCCCCACCTAGTGAATATGACATGTTTTATGGAGTTTCATTTACATATGCGTATTAATCTTAATTAAAAAATCTGATTTAACAATGATTTACTAAACTGGTGAAATTGCACTAGAATATACACCACATGGTTAATAAATGAAAATATGAAGATGGAAAAAAGTGGATCACAGTCTAAGTCCCTAACAACCCAACATTTTACACTAACATGTTTATTTGTCCATGCTGAAAATAACAATGTTTTTGGGCAGAACTTGTTTCACTTACGAAGAAAAAAGCGGTCGCTTCAATTGGATACAGAACCAAACTGCACATTTATTACATTTAAATAGTTATTTACCTTCTTACACAAGTGTAAACAAGTAATACTGTATACAGATTTTAATCATAATTTCATATATCAGTATTATTAGCTAGTACATCAAATGTACATGTTAACATTGGACTGCAAAGGAAGTAACACTTTAAAATAATGTGCTCTTAAACCTGTGTAGTAACGCTGTCATTTCTTTAGTAAGAGCATTAGCTAGGGTATTAGGGTACATATAGTGATGGAGCAATTTAATCTTAAGTCTTACCAAAAGGAATATACTGTACAAGGAACGTTTTAAACTGAATTTCCTGCAAAGCAAGGCCCATTTCGGAACTCTTGGTTCTTTAAATGAGTTATTTCCATATATTTTTAAGAAAGGACCATCTACACTATAAACTATTTGTACCATACTCAGTTGCTCTTTTAACTGTATATTATGTATATTTTAAGTCTTCTCAGTTCACAAATGAGTGTAATTTTTGTAGTGGGGTGCAATGGTTACGTTTAAATAAAATAAATGAATGTCCTTTTGATAATTTGATTAAAGTACAAACTTATTACACAACAATAAGCAAGGAGGGTCTGTGATTGAGTATGGTTTGGGGGATACTGTAGATTGCTAACGTGAGGTAAACATTAGAATGAAAGAGAACGACCGATAATCGGCCAATATCGGGCAGATATTGGCCTTTTCTAGTCTATTGGCCCTTCTCTATCGGTATAGGCTATATGGACACGCCTGGTGTCCAAATTGATGACGTATGTCACACAGCTGAGTCGAGTGTGGAGACTAATGGATTTGGTTCAGGCAGTCGTCCTGATGATCCCTTCCCAGGCCCAGCTAGTTTATGCTGGCTAGCTGGCAACAACAGCAGCATGGTGCTAGTTGAAACGTATAAAATAAAGTGATGTTTATTTTGAATAACTTGTAGTATTGGTCACCATCTGGATTTGGTCACTATCTCCAATTTGTTCCATCCCACTTGATTTTATTTTGTGTAGGATAGCAGCCTACACGATAAATAACTTGTAATATTGATAGTAACCATTTGGATGTCACTCTGATACAGTCTACACTGCTCAATGGGGAAAGTTTGCGCTGCATGCCAGCAACAACACTGGGCAGTGTCTTTCGCTCCCGCTTGCCGCAGTATGGCAAGTGGCTAGGTAGTGTAGGCAATATCAGGCCAGGGTGACAATTTTAAGATTTATTGTAGTGATTTTCTCCGAAAATGTACACAAAGTTGCGGCATTAACGTATAAAATTTTTGTACAAAAACAACAATCACTCCCATAAAAACGGAATGATTCAGTACACTCCCAAGTCCCAATTTCGGCAGACAAGTTTCAAATTCTCACTGAAGTTTCTAGCCACAAGCATAAACTAGCTAGCTGGGAAGGCCTCATCAGGATGACTGACTGAACCGTCATCAATTTGGGCGCCAGGCGTGTCCGTCTTGCCTCTACATTCTATATCGGCTTTGCTGATAGTCCCTCTACATAGCAAATTCAAGTGCATGTAATAGGGAAGGGGTGTTTTTTAAAAGGGGAAAAAATAAAGGTTGGCAACAATAGGTTTAACTTTACCGTTATCTCCCTGTATGTTTATAGACCAAGAAAGCTGCAGATCAGAAGCAGCTGATTCGTTCACACTTCTCAAACTACGGGCAGGTTTGAGTCATTCAGAGCGTGGATCATCCTTTCATCATTTGTCCTACCCTCGCTCCCCTTTGTTAGATATTATCCATGTTTATGGCTTGCTAGCAAATGTCATTGCCATTGAGCTACTTATCATAGCTAGATAGTAGCAGTAAACAGCAGCAAGTGATCTGTGCAGGGTTGCCAGGTCTAGCTAAAATGTCTAGCCCAATGGCCATTAAAAACCTGCCCAAAAGGCCTGAAAACTAGCCCCCCCCCCCCCAAAAAAAGTGCCATATTTATACAATAAACCCTTTTTCCATAACGTTATCTAGCCAATTTAGAAGGAATATCGTAGTAACTTGTAATGACATTAGAAGCTAAATGTGGTTTTCCTCAAAATAATGATTATTGTGAGCTATGAGATGTAGCTAATAAAGGAATTTGAATATGTGGCAACAGAAAATATCATTTGCCCTTACTAAACTCTGCAGATCATTTTCCATCAATGGATGTCGATTTAACTCATTTGAAAAAATGCGCTGCACGCGTCAACCTCTTTTAATCTCACTTTTAATGGATGATGCGATGAAGCTGTCAAATCATTCTGAATTGATTTCGACATTCCAGAGAAGACAGTAGAAACGTCCATATTCTCAGAAAGTAAAGCATCATAACATGCAATTACCTCTGCAAGCTCCTAATAGTTGCCCTTGTTAGTGGAACATTCCCTCTCATCGTGCCCCCTAAAAGCCAACTCTTCAATGCCCAAAAATGTATTATTGTTTGAATACGCAGACCTTCATCCATTACATGATCGACGCTGCTTTTTCCCTGAAGCTTGATTCTGATGGCCAATGAAATGGGTTCTTCAACAAAAAATCGACTACATTGTCGTTAGCGTTAGCTAGCCATTCTGGCTGAGAAAACTGTACTCTGGTAGCGAGCTAGCTGCACTCTGGTAGCGAGCTAGCTGCACTCTGGTAGCGAGCTAGCTGCACTCTGGTAGCGAGCTAGCTGCACTCTGGTAGCGAGCTAGCTGCACTCTGGTAGCGAGCTAACTACTAAAGTTAGCAAGGCAAATTGAAATAAATTGCATTAACTCAACACACAAATAAAGTTCTAAAACCAAGAAAACAAGACAATCTACCTCCTCCATCTCCTGTAGTTTGAAGAAACTAATTTGAATTTAATAATATCCCAAAAAATGCTCAATCTCTCAATCTATCCAACAATGTCACCAACTCACCAAACTTCTAAATCACACATGCCTAGTACTAGGTTCCTTCTCTGATCCTTTGATTGGATGGACATGTTAGTTCATACTTCAAAAGCTTTGATTGGTTGTAGGACGTCTTCCGGAAGTCGTCATGATTGCCATGTAGGTATATGGAAGGGGGGAAGGAGCACGAGCCTCCTATGTTTTGTATTGAAGTCAGAGGAGGGTGGAAAATAGCTGTCCTTCGGCTACACTATGGTGCTAAACATAGGCTCCAGAGCAATGGCGCAAACGGAGCAGCTGCATCCCGAATTTCAAAATAGGTGTCCCCACTTTCTTACCAGAAAAGTATCATGATCCATTGGGTAATTTGTCATTTTCAATGATTAGTAATGTTTTGTGCTAGTCTGTATGAA